GTAATAATTGAGACGATGGACCAACGTTCAGCCAACATTGGCCCAACATCGAATGGCCAGCAAAAGCCAACATTTATAATTTAAAATTGAGACGATGGACCAACGTTCAGCCGACGTTAGCCCAACGTCGAATAGCCAACCCAAAGCCACCATTTAAAAAAAAAAATTGAGACGATGGACCAACATGAAGCCAACATTGGCCCAACGCCGAATAGCCAACCAATAGCCAACATTTATAAGTTAAAACGATGGTCCAACTTTCAGCCCACATTGGCCTAACGTCGAATAGCCAACCAAACGCCAACACTTATCAGTAATATTTGAGACAATGGACCAACGTTCAGCCAACATTGGCCCAACGTCGAATAGCCAACCAATAGCCACCATTTATCAGTGAAAATGGCAACAATTGACCAACGTTGAGCCAACTTTAGCCCAACGTCGAATAGCCAACCAATAGCCACCATTTATCAGTAAAAATAGTGACAATGGACCAACGTTCAGCCAACATTGGCCCAACGTCGTATAGCCAACTAATAGCCACCATTTATCAGTGAAAATGGCGACAATGAGCCAACGTTAGCCCAACGTCGAATAGCCAACCAAAAGCCAACATTTATCAGTAATAAATGAGACAATAGACCAACGTTCAACCAACATTGGCCCAACGTCGAATAGCCAACCCAAAGCCACCATTTATCAGTGATAATTGAGACGATGGACCAACATTTAGCCAACATTGGCCCAACGTCGAATAGCCAACCCAAAGCCACTATTTATCAGTGAAAATGGCGACAATGGACCAACAATGAACCAACAATAGCCCAACGTCGAATAGCCAACCAAAAGCCACCATTTATCAGTGAAAATGGCGACAATAGACCAACGTTCAGCCAACATTGGCCCAACGTCGAATAGCCAACCAATAGCCATCATTTATCAATGAAAATGGCGCGACAATGGACCAACGTTCAGCCAACATTGGACCAACGTCGAATAGACAACCAATAGCCACCATTTATCAGTGGAAATGGCGACAATGGACCAACGTTCAGCCAACATTGGCCCAACGTCGAATAGCCAACCAATAGCCACCATTTATCGGTGAAAATGGCGACAATGGACCAACGTTCAGCCAACATTGGCCCAACGTCGAATAGCCAACCAATAGCCACCATTTATCAGTGAAAATGGCGACAATGAGCCAACGTTAGCCCAACGTCGAATAGCCAACCAATAGCCAATATTTATCAGTGATAATTGAGACGATGGACCAACATTTAGCCAACATTAGCCCAACGTCGAATAGCCAACCCAAAGCCACCATTTATCAGTGAAAATGGCGACAATGGACCAACATTAAACCAACAATAGCCCAACGTCGAATAGCCAACCAAAAGCCACCATTTATCAGTGAAAATGGCGACAATGGACCAACGTTCAGCCAACATTGGCCCAACGTCGAATAGCCAACCAATAGCCACCATTTATCAGTGAAAATGGCGACAATGGACCAACGTTCAGCCAACATTGGCCCAACGTCGAATAGCCAACCAATAGCCACCATTTATCAGTGAAAATGGCGACAATGGACCAACGTTCAGCCAACATTGGCCCAACGTCGAATAGCCAACCAATAGCCACCATTTATCGGTGAAAATGGCGACAATGGACCAACGTTCAGCCAACATTGGCCCAACGTCGAATGAGCCAACCAATAGCCACCATTTATCAGTAAAAAATGGCGACGATGGCCCAACGATTAGCCAACGTTGGCTTGCCGACTGCGACCCTGCCGACCGTGGCCGACGTTGGCCCAACGCCCTAGCGCACGTACGTTCCATTATAGCAAGCAGCGCCTAGAGCAGCGGCTTCGTCTTACCTCCCGATTCTGCTCGCTTCACGAACGTTCATGCAAGAGCCGCATCACTCGCCAAAATAGGAAGCGCGCTTGCATGATCTCGTTCAAGTTTGATATTTTACAACATAAAATGTTTAACTGGTACTGTATCCTTTTTTGAGGCAGTCACACACATCTATGATAAGTACTATCATAGTTCTAGACCTATTCGTTTTACAAAACTGCTCCTGTACCTTATCTGATGACAATAATGCATCCGCCTATTCATACGTGCACGATTTAACTTTAATTCCTAAGCAGTAAACTCGTCTTAAATCTCTACCAAATAGGTGAATATGAGGATATAAAAAGAAATCAGCGACTGGAAAATGTTGCTTCGTTATTCTTCATTCAAATGAAAACAGAAAATCCATCAAATATACTCCTTAACAACAACAAATCTAAGCTCTGACAGGATAGCATTTACGTAGGGATATCACTGTCATTCACTCTCACTGAGCCCATGAGTCCCGTTCGTGACGTCACGGATAGAGGCCCGACTCTATACGTGCACTTCCGGGTTTCAGACTTAGATATTTTGGTAGAGTTTACTCGAATAAATTCATTATTCTAAACTTGTTTTGTCGGGTGGACACCATTTGGTGTTATTATGGGGGTTAAAAGCTTTATATTTATGTAATATTATCTCAGTATTTGGGATTGTCTTAGAGTATCAACTTTAAGTAGTTAACTGCGAGAATTTCAGTTCAAATTATTGCATAATATTTTATATACAAATCATCATTTACATAGATTCAGGTTCCATGAAAATGGTTTGTGCTCATTTTGCAAAAATTTTGAAGAAACTTATCAACATGTATTCTTTGAATGTTCTATGTTAGTGTTGTGTTTTGTATACTGTTGTACATGTTATGTGTTTAATTGTTGTGTGGGGTGGGGGGGGGGGGGGGTAGTAGGTGTTTTGTAGCTTTTTCTCTTTTTTTATATATATAATTTTTTTGTCTCCAAAGGAAAATGAAGAGGTGTAACTTTTGTATGTAAATGTAAATGATCATTGGTAAATTTATAAAGACATATGTTAAATTATTTTGTTATTTTGTATCCAATGTTATAAATGTACAATTTTTCTTTGAGAGAAACGAATAAAAACCTATGAAAAAAAAAGAAACAAAAATATCGTGCCATATCGCCAAGCTAGCTAGCTTGTTGGCCTCCAGCTTATTCCTCATGCTCAAAGGCAGATTTTACCTTTCCTAATTTTGACTAATTTTTTTTCAATCCCTCTAATGAGATGGTCTGTGGTAATTCCAGGTACCGACGGGATATTTCAACCCCCAGTGAATGAATCATTACTGGTATTTTCCCTTTTTTACTGGTATTTTCCCTTTTTTCACTAACCAGCTGTCTCGCGGGGCTGGCCTATTGGGGGGGGGGGGGGGGACCCCTCCTCCAAAGAAATTGATTACTGAGCACATATATAAAGTACATGTAGCTGGGGAAAAAATGAGGAGGACTACTTTCGCAACCCCCCCCCCCCCCAATAAAATTTATATGCATGTATCAGTTCATCACAGTGAAGCAGTAATTTTAAAACATTGATACCCCCCCCCCCCCCCCGCTCAAAAAAAGTGAGGTGCATTCATCATAATATACACAAGTAGTTGTCTACTTTTGTGTCAAAGCACCTCTCATATGAGAATTTCTCTTTTCTGCACATCGATCAATCGGCAAGTAGCTAAATTTCAACCATTTTCTCTAGCTTATAAAGTCAATCTCAATTAATTTTTTTTTTAATCAGTTTAGTTCTCTAGCTATATCCTGAAAAATTAGCAGGCTTTCATTAGTTATCCTCACACAACACATCACACTTTTGTAGTTTTCAATCCCAATGCCAATTTTTAATCAATTGGAAAGAAAATTTTAGTAAAAATCTAGCTCAGTATTTCTCATGAATTAACAAACTAAATATCCACTTTGTCATGTTCCGTACTTAATATCTACCAGCACTTCTATTAACCCCACTCCTAATAAAATGTTAGTCTTCTTCTCTTTCTCTCTCGGTCTCACTGTGTCCACTCTCTCTCTCTACCTCCCCCTCGTTTTCTCAACCTCAGTTAAATTAAGGCAGGGTATTCTACTGACACTATTTTAGATTTACGTATATCGCCATCTGCTACTTACAATGTCCCACAATCATTACCAACAGCATTATGCACGCATGATGATGCTCGAGTGCAGGAACCAGATATCACTCTTATGTACACCTTCACAAAAAGATCCCCTAATTGAAAACACATTACAACAGTGGTAGCCAAACTAGCGATATTGATCAAATTAAATACGCTGCCTTTAAACTGCACATAAATCATATTACACACACTCTTTTATTTTTCTCATTCCTTGATCTGGCACATACTTTTCCCCACATTACCCGATAGCTCTTAAAAAATTGCATGTACAGCCAAACCTGTCGATAGCAACCGCCTAAGAGAAACACAAAACGTGGTCTTTGTAGACAGGTTCCTTTAGTACATGTTTCAATGAGAAACCATTTTCAAGGGAAACAAAAAAGTGGTCTTTGTAGACTGGTGGTCACTAAAGCAGGATTGACTGTAAATGCAAAACATAACATCAAAGCTAGTCCATGTAAAGAATAACATAACAACTGGGTTTTAAGAGAATTTTTTTTTAGTTTAATCATATTCAGGAAAAACAACATTGAAAGCAGAAAGGTTGAAAGAGGCACTTGATTCTAAATAAAAACCCAGATTTTATTACTTGTTAGTTAAACCAAAAGCACTGTTAATTATTGTTTCAACATGGGAAAGGAATCTGCCGAAACAAATCCTTTTCAAAATAATATGCATATATAACTCTTCAGTGGTGTACGCAGGATTTTTTTCAAGGGGGGTTTTAAAATCAAAAGGGGGGGGGGGGGGTTTCCAAAGAAACATACTTAAAACATACACATAAAAAAAACTCGAGGGGGGGGGGTTTAACCCCAAAACCACCCCCTGCGTACGCGCCTGTAACTCTTCATACTTAAAACAATTTAAATGGCTCTGCAAAGTCTGCATTTAGCTCCAAAACCCACAGATGAAATACCCTGAATGTAGATACCCTGCATGAATGTCGCATGTTTAAATTTTAATGACTTTAAATACAACAGTCTGTTGACATAAAGACTGTCCATGTACTTGTATACCGATACCAGTGATTTACCCAAGGTACAGGTGATCATTTGATTTTTTTGTCACAAGCCTGAGGGTGGGTACATAGTAAATGTTATGGACAATGAATAATACAGTTGTACTTTAAATCAACAAATTAAAGTCACATTACTAAAAAGAAATCATCAAAATATATTCCACTTTGATGATATTGTCAGATAAATAATGTCTCTCTTATAGCTAATGAACAATCATCTCACATATTATCCTTTCTTTGGTAGTGCAATACACCAGTTTACGGTTGTATCAGTGCGCATGCGCAGACAGTTGACCTCGGGTCATTGGCTTTGAAACAAAGCCAATGACCCGAGGTCAGTGGTATTTATGCGTAAATTAAGATTGCGCCCATGCAAATGATGATGTGCGCGCACAACGCAGCGCGAAGGCAGTGATATCATCATAATTTGCAAGGGCGCAATCTTAATTTACGCATAAATACATGACCTCTAGGTCATTGGCTTTGTTTAAAATGGCGCACACAACCGTAAACTGGTGTATTGACATTCAAACTTGATGTACCTTCCTTAAACTTAAACAGAATTGCACCCCTTCATTACAAATTACATCACACCACCACCAATTCTGGTAGATACACAATTTCTATACTACACAATGTAAATTTACACAGTCAAAGCTTTCCATCTTGGACAGCCTGGTGTATCCTTGTAGGGTGTCGAGAAACACCTGAATAGCCGGGGCTACTTTTAGGGTGTTTCTGTCATGATAAGGATAGCCACGATGTCCAACGCGGAGCTGTTTAGCTGCAGAGGATAAGAAAAAAATGTAAATAATTTTTACATTTATTTTGTTGAGATAATTTAGTTTGACATACCGGTAGATCAAGGCAAGTAATCATGAGCATTATTTAATTTCATCAGTTCTGAAGTATGTAAAGTTCCACAGTTTTAATAATCCATTACATGCAGTTAATAATAATAATAATAATTACATTTATAGGGCACTTTATACAGTTGTTTCTAAGTGCACAGGTGGTACTGTCTAACTCAGTACAATTATTCAACAAAATAAAATAAAATATTACTAATACAATACAATACAATACAATTGAGTTGAATGGAATTAACTACTTGTGTGCGCCTCCAGTATACCTAACTGATTAAAAATGTGGGTTTTGAATGATTCAATGAATGGGGCGTTTTGAATATGGGGTGGGAGTTTGTTCCAGAAGGCGGGGGCAATCGATGAAAAGGCATGGTCACCATGGTCACCATAATGGGTTTTTGTACGTGGGCCGTAAATAAATTGCATGGAGGAAGATGAACGGAGGGATCTGGCAGAAGAGGAGGATCGAAGGGAGACTAGGTCAAGAAGATATTTAGGGGCAAGGTTATGTGCTATTTTGTATGAAAGAAGTAGGATTTTTTAGAGTAATGCGAGAATGAACCAGTAGCCAATGAAGTGAGCGATACACTTAGCCATTCGCAATTCAAAAATACAGTCCAGATTAATAAAACACTTTTTTCTTACAATTGAATACCATTGCATATATTACTCTTTCTATAGCTGAGCTACCAAGATGGGGCACTCAAACATGGTAGGAATATCAAAATGGGGAGCAAGTAAGGGTAAATTTATGTTCAGAATTTCTATTTATCAACTCCATTAGATGTCTAAGAAACATTTCTTCTTATCATAACAGGTCTTCATATGTATGAGCTATGCATTTAAACTGATATTAATTTCAACTTTAAAACTGACCTAGTATTCTCAACATCCCTTACCTGTGTCATTGAATGTGATAAAGAATCACATAGCTGCGCTAACAGCATTAACAATCTTCTTCAGCTTGCCTTCACTGTCAATGTATCCATCTCCATTCTGTATGGGAAAAAAAGGTAAATAGTATCAATTTCTAATATCCTGTAAATCTTGCTAATTCATAGAGGTAGTGTCCTTGATGAGAAAGGTTCGTGGTGGGAAACTGGCCGGCTAGCTATTTGCCAAAACAATGCTAGATCGGCTGCTGGCAAAACTTGTCAGTGAGAGAATTCTAAATTCTATTGGAGATTATATAATAAATTAGATCAACAAACGAACCTCGATAGATCTCTAATGACTACCGGTATACAAGTGCTTGTTTATTTCTCCATTTGACGTTTTGTTTTCTCGATCCCTCAAGCCATTTTTTCATGCACGAGTCAATGCAATCTCTGTATGTATGTATGACCGAACTTTCAACACGTAAGATATGAGGAGCACTCGCAGACCTCTTATGAAATTTTGTTGCAAATTTTTCAAGGGGAGAATTTGCAGCTTAACAACTGAAAGAAACTTAGAAAATTACACTTGAATTTTTCATAAAATCGGATTTGTGTTACAGGTAGTCGTGGCCAACTGGCCTTTTTTTTACACTCCAGAATCTTGGTAGATTTGTCAGAAAAAATAATCTCATTTTCCCAGTTTGGTGGTCATTACTAGGCTAATATTTAGAAAGTTTTATTGGTGGTTCTCTTCTTACACTCGCATGATATTTTTACTTACATTTAACATAGGATGGTTAGGGGTAAGACCGGAAAACATTATATAAAAGATATATTCATCCACTTTGCCATAGCACGTGGGCTGTTTAGTGCAAACTCACCCCGAGAAGGCCATTCAGATTTCTGAGCCCTCGCGAAGCACAATCTAGTGCCGAATGAATGTGTGTGAATTATGTGGTTTGTGCATACAATCATGGAAGGATTTTAGGATTCTCATTGTAAAATGATTTGTTAGAGCTCATTCAGTCCACATTCAACTTGTATCAAGTAAGTTTTTTTTTAAAGATTTGTGAACATTTAGTGCCGGCCATGTGAGAATTCTGAAACTGGCGCCCGGTTACGGAAAGGCTTGCTTGTAAGGATCATTCCTCAGAGACCAAGTAATCTTGAAATACTTGAAAACAACAAGAGCCTCATTTAAGCAATTGACTAATTTACCTTCTTGGAATGGATAAGTTTTCCATTGACCTCTACCTCCAGCCATCCGGTAACACCGGGAGTACTTTCTCCAACCTGTAAAATGACAAGTGAGGACAAAAAAAATAAATAAATATAAAGATTTCTTGTATTAGTAAAGTAAAGACTATTGATTACTAAAACTAGGTCCTTTCTGTATTAAGCCTATGAAAATGAGAGAATTCAGTTCTTAACAGGTTGAATGTGCTAGAGAATGGTTGAGTGCAGAGCATCTCTGCAGTGTAAGTGGATTTCTGTAATACTATAAAGCACCTGCTAGTGGCGCAGTGTCGCTTGACGCCGTGTCCTATGTGTGCTCATGGCTGGTGCTTTGATGTAAATGTTTTATGCTCACATATAGGTCTTTATAATCTTTTTCTTGCATATATTTGTTTTCCTGTTAATGTTGTTTTTGTTAATTTTTCTAATTTCTCGATATATAATATGTCATGGTTGTTGCCCCAACCATAAGTTTGTATTCAAACTTCTTTAGGGGCTCCTAACCCCATGTTTTTATATTTCCATGAATTATTGTATATGTATTTTTATGGTTGAAATAAATTGAATTGAATTAAATTCATAACAATTTCTTCAAAAATACACTGTAAGTTAAATCAGGATGGCAGAACACTTGGGCAAAGGCAGAACATTTGGGCAAAGGCATATTCTAGGGCAAAGGCATATTCTAGGGCAAAAAGGAAAACATACCGGTATATAAGAAGCAGACATACGGTATGTTTTAGCACCTCTAAATATGATAGGTAGCATTTTTGAGGGTATGGATGTATAAAGATATAAAAAAAGGTACAAGTTGCTTAAACAATTATGAAGATTCTGAAGAATGGCATTGGTAACAGTAGACAAAAAAGGACATCAGAATTACACTGAAGCCAACAGGTACCATTGAACGGTTTTCAAAAAACTTTGTTAGTGGTTGAATTGTGGATACATTCATTCTACACTGCTTGGGTCAAGGTATTCACTCTTTAAGAAATATCTTTCTAAGTACGGTAGATTAGGTTATGATCTACCTTTATACATGTAGATCTACATGAAAGAATATCAGGCGTACATAAAATTGAATGTCTGCGTTAAAACTGTAACAACATGATTTCCCTGCAGAATTCAATTCAAAACAGTCAAACTCACCATATCAACGTCATCGCCGAACTCATCCTTGAGCTCTTGCTCTAAACGCCGATACTACAGATGAAGGAAAAAAAAAAAATTCTCCTGTGTAGGTCATTACATTTTTGGTTAGCCCTAAAAAAAAAGTTTAATTTAATTTTCTTAGATTTTAGATGATAAAGAACTCAATTTGGGTCATGAAACTCAAAAGCTCCAAAGAGTTAAATGGGGGCATATGGATATGAACCTTTCATTTTTTCATCAGGAAAACTATGAATAAATTAAACACGAAATGAAGTACAAAATAAGAAAAAGTTAAAACATTTTATAATGACCTTGCCATTGACAAAAATTGTAGGTTTCTTATGATGCAACCTGATTTTTGTCAAAATTCTTTGATGTGTTTGTCCGATATTTTAGTTTGTATTAAAAGCAAGTTATTACTGGACAAGGCTTGCCCTAATTAACAAAAATTACAAGTGAGGAATGTTCATTTCAGACCACTTGAAGAAAGAAAAAAAATATACATATTTTTAATTAGATTTTTTTTAAAGAAACACCAAAATTGTACAATACAGTAGGTGTCCTTGTGTGACTTAATGTACAAAAGATTGTTATCAATCCATAATTAATAATTCAACTTCATACTTCATTAGCAACAATCTTGTACACTATTCTCAACTGTCTCAAATTCGTTAATTCATAACAAATGTATTTTTTCTTTTTTTGTAGCAATTTGTGGCAGTTGGGTAGAACAATGGATATACTTCCACAGAAAATTTCAAATAGTGTTTGATATAAAGAACTAGTAAACTTAAAACAAAAACAGACAAGGGATGCTTGAACTAACAAGTCATATCCACCTGACCCACAAATATACTTTGAATTAATGAATACTGTACTTCTTCAAAAAGGCTTTGTCTAGTTACGAGTTACATATTTCACTCATTCCAGGTGAAGATTATAAAAGCTTTGAATACAAATACCTACACTCCCAATTATGCTTTGTCATGCATTTTGTTAATCATTTACGGGGGCAGTAAATATTATGTGCTCCAAAGGTCAGAATATAATTTCCATACACAGATTAGATTTTGCTTTGTCATGCAAATATACTGGTATGTAGCATGAGCTTTCCTTAAGCTTAAAGGGAGACTCCACCCTAATATTAAAGAGAAGGTTGAGTTCTGGCAAGAGGTGAAAATAACATCTGAGCATTATCATTGTTATTATGCAAATGTGAAAGAAGATCAGGAAAAAAATGTTCCCTGAAAAGCATGGCTCTTCAAATTCCTTAATATTTTAAATATGGCATGTTACAGCATAAAAATCAGTACTGATTTTTATGCCTCATGTTCGTGTAGTCCCATATACATATTTCTTTGCAGTACTGTGCTTGTAACTTTACCAAGACTGGGCCAATTTCTTATCATTTTGATGATTCCAGAACCTTGCAGTACACACCAATACTTATGCTAGATGATCAACCCGTTTTGATCGATTCCACGCCGTTTCTTTCACAATGTAATCGCATGACCAGAACTCAACTTTATCTTTAAGTTGGTTTTAATAAAAGTAGAAAATTGAGGGGAAGGGTGAGCAAATTCACATTAAAATAAGTAATGACATTTTGAAGTTGCGATCAACACACATATTGGCAACACTGATGCATCTTGTGAGGTTTTCTCCAATTTGCTTAGGTACAGAAAATTACATTAACTTTCATTTTTTTTTATGAAGAGGTTGTTAAGAAATATAATGGCAATAATTATATTTAGGGTGCATGTGCATGTACGGTTCAAAATTTTCTTGACATTTTTTTTTTTAAGGACAATTGAATGAAAGGGATCCTCACACGATACACCACAGAGATGCTAATTTGTAGTTGATTGATTACGGCTTTAAAAATTCATAACTTTCTTATTTTTAATTGGAATTTGCTCAAACTTTCACTGGCCGGCTCCTCTCATTTTTCTGCTTCAATTAAAAACCCAATATCAGGGTGGACTTCCCCTTTAAAAAATTCATATGATTAACCATGATTAGAGACATAAAATTTGTACACATAGTTGTGTACAACATGCACTTACCCTGGGGCCGTACCCTCATCCACCACTGGAAGAAAAAAAAAAAGATAAAGAAATTATATAAAATAGCCTCAATGGACGTTACACATCTAGACAGTAGACTCACAATTTTTTTTAAAGATTTCCATCCAAAGAACTTCTGAAGCACACTTTGGATTTAACATGCAAAGTCATGCATGGATTTTAGCATATGAAAAAAGACCCAAGAATTTACATGTACAGGCCCCTTTGAACCAATTTCTAGATCAAGTATTTTATACTACTTCATTTTGCAGGAGAACAAGGTCGGAGAGATGTATGAATTATAAACCTTCATTATGCTTGAACTTTAACGAAAAGAAGAAAAAAACCCAGCTTAATCAATTTACAAATGAACTGACTGAAATATCTCATGACTTTGAGATAAATCATGCAAAACATCCAGCAAAGTGACAAACAAAATAGGATTACATCGATGTTAAAAAATTATTTTTTTAATTCACTGGCAAAGAACAATTGAAAAGTGAAAATTAAATCCAATATTGAGGGCTTTGAAGTTTGAGGCCAACAAAATTTCAATCAAGAAAACTAAATAAACATTTCTCCATAAAATCTGATCCCTCTTGTTTACTACTACTACTAATACTAGATCTACTACACATTAAAGCATTTTAAGTGCCTTTAAGAACTTATTAAAAAGTTACCTTTATTCTTGTCAATCTATTATAGCACACAATGAAAAGTCTGAAAAATGGTGAGACAACTGAGCAAGCTAATAAGCCATCGTCATGTTTTATAGGGAGCGGCGAGCCTATTCTTCACTGTGCACTATGGCATGAATTCCATTGAATCAATTCACTGTAGTGGCACAATGCTTCATGCATGTCCCTTTTGCAGCCAACCTCAAATTCTGTAGAACTTTGCAGGAATTATGAATATGTCATGTATGTCCTGTCTGTGAAATTTAAACGTTAGCAGTGTCCTCATATTCAAATTATGCAAGGAAACCCTGTCAATCTATTATAGCACACAATGGAAAGTCTGAAAAATGGTGAGACAACTGAGCAAGCTAATAAGCCATCGTCATGTTTTATAGGGAGCGGCGAGCCTATTCTTCACTGTGCACTATGGCATGAATTCCATTGAATCAATTCACTGTAGTGGCACAACGCTTCATGCATGTCCCTTTTGCAGCCAACCTCAAATTCTGTAGAACTTTGCAGGAATTATGAATATGTCATGTATGTCCTGTCTGTGAAATTTAAACGTTAGCAGTGTCCTCATATTCAAATTATGCAAGGAAACCCTGTCAATCTATTATAGCACACAATGGAAAGTCTGAAAAATGGTGAGACAACTGAGCAAGCTAATAAGCCATCGTCATGTTTTATAGGGAGCGGCGAGCCTATTCTTCACTGTGCACTATGTCATGAATTCCATTGAATCAATTCACTGTAGTGGCACAACGCTTCATGCATGTCCCTTTTGCAGCCAACCTCAAATTCTGTAGAACTTTGCAGGAATTATGAATATGTCATGTATGTCCTGTCTGTGAAATTTAAACATTAGCAGTGTCCTCATATTCAAATTATGCAAGGAAACCTGTTTACTTGCTAGACTTCACTGTCAGACATTATTGAGTGACTGACTGGCTTTTTTCCTTCTTTGGTAATAACATACATGAAAAGAGTTGTAAAGGGTACATGAGCATTTGTCTACATCAATAACCCACTTCTCGTGATGGCCAAGATTAAACTGATTGAATCTTTGCGCAGCATAAAACGTAGAAATCTATGACAATTGTCTGAAAATCAAGACTATTACTTTTGGGCTCTATAGCCCTAAAGTCGATTTGACAACTAATAGTCGTTATTTTCCCACTTGAAGACATTTTCAAGCCCCACCTTTTTTAAGGGAAGTTCTAAATCAGTATTATCTTTCAAATGCAGTTGGAAATTAGATTTTTCATTTTTTTGACCTGCAAATGGGACATACATGTAGGGTCTAGATCTAGGCCTAGTACTTTTAACAGTCTTTAGATTCTTTGTGCAATTTGTGTGTGTGCTGTACAGTACACTACTGCCCTAACAACAAGGTAGAAAGAATTCATGCATGGCTGATTGTCAACGAAAAGGAGTTTCTCATTTGTTGCTACGGCAGGCAGCCAGTGAAACTAATTCCTTTAAAAATATTATGGAAATGCAAGTATTACTTTAAACGAACAGAACTTTGTTATTCCTGGCTCATTTGAGGCGTCATATGAAAGGCCAGAAATGAACTTTCTGGAAATATGATTTTCTCTTTAAAATTCAGATACCATTCCTGCGCCAAATGACTTTTTGGTACTCTTTCTTCAAACTGTTTTTAATCATTCATGCGTGAGATATGCAACATATGTACATATCAGTTGCATCAAATGAAAAGAGGATCTAAGCTTTACAAATATGTGTAATTTATTAATTCTACTTGTGATTAGTTAGATCTATCTAAGTTAGTATGAGTATGACTGAGTAGACCTAGATCTATGATAAATCATCGATAATTATCGGCTTCGTTTTTTCTGGGACACACTGTATTTAGGTCTAGATTCTACATGCGCACAAAAGTTTGAGCGCAGGCAAAGAGATGACAGAAAATGGCAAACTTTATCAGCAAAGATACAACAATAATATCGCCCCTACTAGTACTTTTACTAGCTCCTAGGCTAGCTAGAGTCATAGTCACGTCGCCGCTCCAGACCAGCGCGCCGCTGAGCTGAGCTCAACTAGCTCAGCAAACTAGCTAGCCTATGCCCGCTTGGCTAGCCCCAGGAAGCTCGATGCGCAGCCGAACACGGAAGAGGTACCGATGACTTGCGTCACTCTTCCGAAGAAATAATGAATTTAAACCGTGAAAGCTAAAGCTAAGAAGTGTTAACAATTGATATACACTCTACATTCTTACCAATAAATCACTTTCACTATAACAACCATGGCTGGGGAGTTTTGCTTGCTCTCAAAACGTCTCAAACTACTGACAAACTGGCTGCTCTTTCCGCGTAATAACAGAAATTGACGTGCCAACATAGTCGAGTCGTGTCGGTACGTACGTACGTGTGTATGCAAATAAATATAAGCACGTGATAGGGCCGGGTAATGATTGGTCCAGAGTGCATACGTCACTTGACTTCAGCTCTTTCGGTATTACGTAATATTTATATAAGATTGGATTGATTGATTGATTGATTGATTTTTATTCGACAAGCTTCCAACATACAACAATATACAATAATAACAGATCAAAAATAAGTCAGCTTGAACAGGATAACCCACGAAAGCTCGAGAGCTTATTTCCAGTGGGGTCCCTTACAGACATGTATAAAATTAATAAGTTAAAATAGTAATATTTACAGACAGATAAGAAAATTAAATAACTACTTATTAAAGATAATAATAATAATTACAACATTAAACTGATGATAGAAATGATATTAAGTACAAGAAGAAAAAGAAGAAGGAGAAGAAGAAAAAGAGGAGAAGGAAGAAGAGGAAAATAATGATGAATTTGTAGAATTTCTATAACGTACGAAAACATAAGTATATACAACATGAACAAGTATGAACCGACAGAAGAATAAAAATTTCAATCATATAACATGTCATTCACTTCTCTTCTCTGATTGTCAAGTATTAGGTATTCCTTTAATTTCCTCTTAAAATGATCATAGTTTCCTATTTCTTTTACACCATTGGGAAGGGAATTCCAATGTTTTATGGCATTGTAATAAAACGAATTTCCAATACTACCTACTCTTTCTGGTAAGTTAAAGTTGAATCGGCTATTTCTTGTATTATAATCATGTACGTCAGTAACAAGATCGAAGTTGGATCGAATATAATGATTCGACCTAGTATGATATATTTTATGCACGTGATGCAATACGAGTTGTTTTGATTTGTGGTCGACTTTAAGAAACCAGCTTTAGAAAGTTCGCTGTAGCCAACATGAGTTCTTGGACCAGAACAGTTGATAAATCTCACCATTTTGTTCTGTATAATCTTCAACTTCTTTTGATCTGACTGGTTTATGTTACTATACCATGCAGGGTTAGCATAGTCAAATAAACATTGAATAAGAGCAAAACAGAGTGTACGTCTTGCTTTTAAATCCATACAACTTTGATATGATCTGTACAAAAATTTCAGACGAGAATTTGCTTTTTTTACAACTGATTCTACTAAAGATGAAAAATAATGATTGCGCTAGCCAACTCAATGTCTAAATACTTCACAGACTCTTTTCTCTTGATTGCTTGATTATTGTGTGTCACTTTGAATTCAAATGACTTTTTAGAACTACTTTTAGAACAAAATAAAATGCTTTCTGTTTTTCCCAAGTGTAAAGAAAGCTTATTATAAGTCATCCAATCGACACACGTAGACAGCTGTTCACTGAGCTTTTCCTAATTATATTTAGGATCAGGATTTTTAGTACGCTGTCATCTGCGTACAATAATAGTTTGAAGTCTTTTATACAAATACATAACTTGAAAATAGAATTGGTATCCTTGTTATGAAGAAATTACGGTTACTTACCCTTGATATTTCTTTTGTTGTTAAAATTCCCACAATAATTATTAGCTTCATGGTACGTGAAAATCAGTATGAAAAAAGGGGAAAATCGTTCATTTGAGCTATGAAGACTTTTCTTTTAATGCTAGGATAAAATGTGTTGATTTGACATGATGTTAACACCTCAAGCTCCCCCTCTATTCTCTCTCTCAATCGACGCCAGTGCTTTACTTTTTACAAGAGGCTTCCACTGACAACTGCCAATGACAAATGTGTCATTTATGGTAGGAATAAAAGATACACGTATCCTAAGCCGGGAAATTATGGAGTTGATTCATTTTTAATAATTTGAGCTCCCGAAATATCGATTGTGAATAAGTCCTAATTGGACTAAACGTTTTAACGTTTAGTGCCATCTTTTGGCTTAATTTATTTATTTTATATTCATCTTTTTAATTTTATTTCCCAAAATCTCAATTCCATAAGTCATATGCGGTTGAATTTAGAATGAGAGCGAGTTAAGACACTTCATTATGTCACTACTTTATGATAAGGCTAATCCAAAGTGAATATTGAAATAAATATATTTTAAAAATCTAGGGGTAAACTCTGGTCTGCGAACCCTTCCTTTTCAGAACTACAAGAAGGCCCGAGTGTTCCCGTGCGGGGGAAAAAAATCAGAAATGAAAATGGGAATTTCATTCCCCACATCCACCTCCTTCGGAGAAATACACTAAGCTTTTGAAGTTATGAATCTTCATTAATGTTAAGTTTAATGAACACAATGGTATAAGAATTTTGTTTGTTCCTAATTAATCTCCCTCAGAAAAATGAATTTGTAAAAATACAAATAACCCAGGGCACGCCCCAACTGGGTTGACAAATAGCCAGTATGACATTTGTTGTCTTTGAAATGACATGCTGATTTTGCAAGACAAAATGCAAATCCAACAATTTTGGGTAGGAACATGTTGTTATTTAAACTCTATACAAGGGCGATAGTAGTTCTGGGATTTGGTTTGGAACATTAACTTGGGCAATATTGGCACGGCCCTGTTGTGCGCCTTGGACCGATGACGATGTCCCTTGCAACCAGACAGATGCACCGACTCATGGAATATACTAGATCTATATAATTATCACAGTAAAGCTCTTATCACATTTTGATAGTACAATTACCCTCTGCACTATTTTAATAAAATCTACATGTATATGCACATCTTCCGCAAAATTACTTGAGGATTCACAAAACCGGCATGTCAGGTTTATGGGTATATTCTGACAATTTTTCTGGTCTCGTGGGCTGTCTATATAATCCAAGCCAAATCACAAGCAGGAATTGAAAAGTTATCTTTCTTTGATTATACTGATCGGTCATATGGAGAGGGGTGCCAAAGAATAGTTGATAGTGTGTATGTGGGGCTGGGGGGGGGGGGGGGGGGGAGAAGGAGGCAACTGCCAATGCCCATTTTTCCTAAAACATCACAGAGTATACAGAAGAAGTACTTATCGATTGCATTCAGCACTGCAACTCATTTGAACTTTGACATATGTCATATCACTTTTATTCAGTTAATATACCGAGATACTGGCCAAAGTTGGAGGGAATAATTATTTGCAAAATAGCACCTTTCGGGCTCAAAATTTATATTTCATACACTATACATAACTCAATGAAATTGATATCAACTTGAAGGTATTTTGATTATTCACCTTTTGACACCAAACCCATTGGTGATTATAGATTTTACTTTAAGTTAACTTTAAAACTTGATGTAAACACACCAAAACACGTGAGGCTCATTTATGTATATATTTTTTTAAAGATGAAGAAGAAATTTATTTTGTATCTTCATATCATTTCAGATATTTCATTATACCTGATTGGTATGTTTTCTGTATGAATATCTGTAAAGCGCTTTGAGAGGGCCTTCGGTCCTGAAAAGAGCTATATAAGAACTAGCTATTATTATTATTATCAACACTTGCTTTCTCCGCCTCTCAGTTTTGTTGCTTGTTTCCCTCCAATGCTATTTTTGTGCAAAATAATAGGGACAAAGTGCAAAGGAAGAGTCGCTTCGTGCGACACAATTCCTTAGCAAAATTACACAGTTGACTTGATTAGCTTCATGACAACCCTCTTTAATACTGGAAAGTCTGGTATAAATTAATCTTCCACTGAAAACAGTTAATAATCTTGAAGCATTTGGTATATCTATTCCATCAAAAATACAATGTGGCACAGGGTAATTTATGGTGTGACATATAAAGAGTTGATGTAATCAAATGCGCACTTGTCATGACATGAACACTAAGAGATCACAAACCTGAAATAAATGGTTTAAATTCTTTATTAGAAAAGAAATCAAGAAACACCACATTAATTAGTCTTCTTTCAAATGAAGATTGTGCAGCTGATTTAAATAAGTAAGAGTAAGAGAAAATTTATTTCTAACAAAATCTCTCCCATGGAGCTTCCTAAAATTTCCATCAAACTTATTAAATTCCATGAGTTCAGAAAGTTTGAAAAGTAAGTATGAATTACTGCTAAGAAAATGCCAAATATAAACAAAGAAGACATTGAATGCTCTTGTAATATGAAAGTAAATATATCTTATATTACATTTTAACAAAATACAAACTTGCTTCAGCTTGAACAAATGTAATCCATGCCGTGATATATATGTAATCCATTACATTTACTCCCATGTATATCAATAGAAAATTTACATTACTTGATAAAAAAATCAATGTTATGCTTCTATTATCTAAATGAACCCTGACAATATGTACAACAGCCATGACAGAAATATCTCCTCCTTCTTCTTCTTCCAATGTAGTACATCCCTCTCTCCTCATTTTGTCTTGTCTCTAAAGACTAAAATAATAGATTATATTATATGTCATAACTCTTCAGATTAAACCAGAGGAAACAACATTGACTATAAAACTGTTGAAAATAATCAAATGGAATGGCTCTTCTTTCAGGGAATATCATGGCATAGAGATGCTTTCACCATACACTATATAACGCACACTTGTAATCAATGTATTCACACTTAGGTTTTGTTTCAAAACAAGAAATATACTCCTGAATCATTTACAACAAGATTTGGCTTAAAAACAGTGTGAATCATATTGATAATCATTTCCTTCATACAGATATGTATTCTATAACGGTTAACTAAATATATGAAACATGAAAAATGACAAATAACTTGTACTTTTCAGAAAGCAAATCATTGCAAAATAGAGCAAAGTGTCACCTGATTTGAAATGCCGCTTGAATGAAAATTTAAATATAAATGTGTACAAAATGAGATGCAGGCCAGGGTAGATTCAGGAAGTTGTTGCAATATGGCATCTCTTATTATAGTTAGGATTAGTGTTAGCACTGACTAGCAGGTGAAAGCTGCATAAAAAATGAGTACACATTATGGGAAAATACCTCTTCAATGTCAATGTACTGACAATAAAAATCACTTCTGGGAAAACGAAATCATTATCTTGAGTAATTTTAGCTATATTGCATGTCTAAATGTATCAACAAAATAACATATACCTATAATGTACTTTTATCCTCTGAGATTGTTACATCACAATCAAGTGATAATTACCAACACATTTCCAACAAAATAGAATACACAATCTAATCATAATATTACACATATTTCACAAATGATTGAACTAACCCTCTGTAGCATATACATTTCATATTTGTATACTTCTTGCTAGCAAATATAGAGTTATATGTTATATATGCATTGTACATTGTAACTTCAATGTAGTAAACAGGAAAAAACAAAAATAATACATACAGTATGTAAATGGTGTTAGTAATAATACTACACACTTCTCTATCAAACAGCTTACTAAAGATACATCATGTGTATGCTGTGTAGCAATGTACTATACAGGGTGCTCATAAATAGCAATTCTTACAGTAATATATAATTATTTACTGCAATGAGAGAATGGTTGAACTAAGATTGGGTTTCATACTGGTCTTGTCCAAAAGACACCCGTCACACAAATTTGACTAGCGGTACTGGTATCCCGATGGCAGGATTTTCCTGTGCATCAAGGAAAATTTTAATTTATGTACTCTAATCAAGGCCTGTGTTTTTAATATCCTGTCGGAAAAATCCAACAATTATTAAGAATAGCACCTACAACTACAAATAATATCATCCCATTGTCCACTTTTAATGCATGATCTTTGAAAGCTTTGTTATACAGTATACAAATAATACACAGCAGTGAGGGCATAATTAGTAGGAATAACCCACTCAACGTACCTTTGGAAGAGGCTGACACGCCCAAGGCGATAGCCGAGGGTGTTTGGACTGTTTGAAGGTACCGAGTGTGGGTACTGTTACTATTGCCCGAACAAAATGATGTGTATTATTTGTTTTATAAGATTACGTTTTATTTGTTTTATAAAATGATTTTACTAATGACCGGTCATTATCAAAATTACTTCTTACCGGTATGCAAAATAAATGTCTAGATCCAATCAACGTCATCATCTTATAATAACTAATCACTGGATGAAACACACACATTCGTCTATCGTTCTCTTCATATTTACTCTCATGCTATGTTATCCACGGAAAGAGGAAAGGGGGTGATGTCGGTTTCTGGCATATCATCGACATCATCGATCTCCTCGGGACCTATATCCTCATCATCCAGCTCGCCTTCAAACATGTTTTGTAGAGTCACTTGCATGGCCTTGCGGCCTTTAAGAATATACAAAATATATAATTATTAGAAATGTAATAAAATCATATCAATCAATGTGAATACAATAATATCTACATATATCAGCTGCTTCACCAAAATCAATCAAACTGATATATTATGCATCATTTTTCAGGACTGCGAGGTCTGTAGCCAAATCCTTTACATTCTTAGGTTTCAGTTAATTGTTTTCTGTTACACTGGGCAGAAATAATACCATATTATAAATAACTTCCATCAGAAACCGGCATGAATATTGTTCCTTCTAATCTTTCTACTGAACACCTCTATGCCTACCAGTATTTAATTTTAGAAATTCGTTAGTGATTATGAGTGTGAGGAAAATGAATGTATCATTTCAACAGTGAAAATATTGACAAGTTCACAAATACAGTAGTGTTGAAATTTCAGAAGGGATGATAATTGTTCATGAGAAGAATTCTTTGGAGTACAACTGCTACATGCCTGGTTGAATTAAATACTAGTTTTGCAATTGTCTTCAATAATACAGCTCTGCATCAGGTAAATAATCCTAGGATAATTTTGGACATCATTATAACTAAACACCTTATGACTTGATTGCTTATGTTTTTGACATTGCATTCAAATGGCAAAGGTGCATCTCAATCTATTGCATGTGAATATAAGTACACATTGTTTAACAAAAATTGAACTTACGTTTGCCAAGTCTAAACTTGATATTATCATCAGGGTTTTCAGGGTGTTCCTGTTCCATCTCTTTCACCAACTCTTTACGATCTGGCTTCTTTCTCCTTCTACTGGCCTCCTCCAAGTCATCTCTGAAAATCAAGTCAAGAAAAAAAAGAAAAATCTTGTAAAAGCCAAACCTAAGAAACTATCATTAATGGATTGTGCATGTCCATGCCATCAAATGAAAGACATTTTCCATTTGAAATGTTTAATATCACCATTTTCTCCCCTCTCAGATTTCGTAAGTTTCTCATATATCTCTCACCTATTGTTAATTATCATGTATTTATATGTTATATGTTTAAATTGTATGTATGTATAAATGGAATAATAAAATAAATAAATCTGAATCTGAATCTAAAGTGGCATACAAATCTAGAGTCTAATAAAACAAATTGAACATAAAAGACGCATCTACAGTGTACGATAAGGATCACTTTCAAACCTGATGTAGCTAACAGAGAAGACAGGATTTCCTGAAACACAGATAAGGTTGTAATGTAGCATACCAGCAGATGTGTTGCATAATGTTTATCCAAGGCCTATGCAATTTGTAACATAACAGTTGCTGCAGTAATTTAAAGGTACTCTGTCCCATTTGCAGGCCAAAAAAATGAAAAGGTTAAATTCCAATGACATTTGAAAGATAATACTAATTTAGAACTTCACTTTAAGTGGGAATATAACGACTATTAGTTGTCAAATCGACTTAAGAGCTATAGAGCCAGTAAGTAATGGTCTGAATTTCAGACCATTGTACCGAATGGTCGTACGTTTTATGCTGCGCAAAGATTCAATCAGTTTAATTTTGGCCATAAAAGAAGTGGGTTATTGATGTAGACAAATGCTCATGAACCCTTTACAGCTCAATTTATGTTATTACCAAAGAAGAAAATAAGCCATTAAGTCACTCAATAGTGTCTGACAGTGAAGTCTAGCAAGTAAACAGGTTTTCTCGCATAATTTGAATATTAGGACATTGCTAACATTTAAATTTCACAGATAGGACATACATGACATATTCATAATTCCTGCAAAGTTCTACAGAATTGGATGTTGGCTGCAAAAGGGACATAGTTTCTTTAATTACTAAGCTCAAACTAGAAATGAAGATTAGGGCACAACATTCCTTTTCAACTTAACTTCTGCACTACTTGGCCAACTGATAAAATCCCAAACTAAATTTCAGGTTTGAAATATCAGATAGTCTTCTTCACATTGATTCTGGTATTTAAATAGTGAAGCTTTTTTGTTTGTTAGGTTGTTTTACCCGACTGCAAAGAAAGCATGTGTATGCTTGTGGGTAAGCAACCAGGAGACCAACGGCTTTAAGCACTCTCTGAGGGACTTGGTATTTGTAATTAGGATATACAGGCCTTACCAAAGAGCATTGACTTGCATGGTTTTTAACCCAGGACCTCCCGGTTAAAAACCACTGCTCTACCACTGGGCCATCGCGCATCCTCTAACTTCAAAACAATACTCCTAATCATTAGACACACGTCCATAAAATACACTTGGGATATAGAATTGCATTTTGAATTTCAGCTCAAATGACAAATATGTCACTAAACCACGAGCCTCTCTGGTCATAAATGTACAACCATAAGGACATGACAGGGTCAAGGACTTACACTTTATCACTTAGGCCAAGATCTTCTACTACTTTCTCTAAGGCACTCTCATACTCTGTCTTTGACAAGGAATACTCCACCATGAACACCTCCAGGATAAAGGCTATGAAGATACTGAAGGAGAGAGAGAGAGAGAGCAAAGTAAAATATACAGGTGTCAAATGTAATGCAAATTATGTAGTAATAATCCTACTGAGATGATAAGGGGGGGGGGGGCAGCCCAAATATGACAAGAGTAGAAAAGGGAACATAAGAAATAAAAGGTTATTCACTGTTTACCTTAATCTACAAAAAAAAAAAAATCTACTGCAAAATGACAGACATTATTAGAGCAGCACTGATACTTAACATATCCACATGAATATTCAAAATGTATAATAAATGCAAGATGAAATTGTTTCACTGGAATAAATGTGAATCCTCAAATATGAACCCGTTCTTATCTCAGAGTTTACTTCATTTTAATTTATGTTTTTAATATAGTGTCTACTTTCAAATTAAGATTACCATATTTCAAAAAGTAATAACATCCATATTATCAGTTACATATGATATATCGAGGTCAAAGGTTAAAATATGCTGTAAAACTTACTTGATAATGACAATGACAACCGAGATGTGGAAGAAAAGGAAGTAGAGACGAGAAGCCTTGTTGGTAACGATAACATATCCTTCAGAGATCAGTGTGACTAGTTAAGAAAAATGAATTCTTGAAATAATAATGAATCATCTAAAATGCTCACAGTTTGGTTTGATAAACAATTTATTTTCATCAACATGTATAAAAAATCCCCCCAAAATCGATTGTATGCATTGCATGATTCTGAACATAAACTCATTAATCATGATATTAGGTCAGTCAGCCATAACACAAATATCTTTCATGGGCGAATCAAACAATCTTAATCTTCCATTGAATATTTTGTTTAAAAAGGCAGATGCTCCAAAATATTCTTTATATATTTTTTCTGTATACCGGTATATAATATATATATATATTTTTTCAATCATTTTAATTATTTTGCTTTTAGGGTTGGGGGGGGGGGGGGGGGGGAGGGAGCAGTGCGGGCTGTTTTGGTCACTGCCAACATTATTAAAAATCATTAATTAAGTACACATACTCTCAAATTCAGTTCTTTTAACCAAAACAAATATCATTTGAATAACCAAAATAATTATTAATAATACTAAATCATATGAAATAATAAAAATAAGATTGTTGATAAGGATATCATGCCACTGGTTTACAACCATTAGCTCAATCAGAAGAATGAATGCCTTCAAGATGTTGTTGAAGTTGTTGTTGCAGTAGTGATCTCGGTAGAAATCTGAACCACGCAGGAGAGGGTTGCCGCAATAAAGCTCATCCTCTGTCAGGTCAGCACCATCTATCTCGTAACCATAGTAATTGACCTTACCTCCGTACAACTCCATTCCAATCACAGCAAAGATGTAAAATACAACCTATCATATGAAAAGGATAGTGCAGTGAAAACTGCTTTAGTGATAGATGTAAAATACAACCTATTATATGAAAAGGATAGTACAGTGAAAACTGCTTTAGTGAAAGATGTAAAATACAACCTATCATATGAAAAGGATAGTATAGTGAAAACTGCTTTTGATAGATGTAAAATACAACCTATCATATGAAAAGAATAGTATAGTGAAAACTGCTTTTGATAGATGTAAAATACAACCTATTATATTAAAAGGATAGTACAGTGAAAACTGCTTTAGTGATAGATGTAAAATACAACCTATCATATGAAAAGGATAGTATAGTGAAAACTGCTTTTGATAGATGTAAAATACAACCTATCATATGAAAAGAATAGTATAGTGAAAACTGCTTTAGTGATAGATGTAAAATACAACCTATCATATGAAAAGAATAGTATAGTGAAAATTGCTTTAGTGATCACCTGTTTAGAGAGACCATCTATCCATAATCAATAAAATACAAAGTGTTTCTCGATGAAACCTGCACAAATGTAATGTGTACATAGAGACCACCTGCTGTTGAGACCCCATTTCTTGCCTCCCTCAAGCAGTCTATATACAGGTTTCAATGTAATAACCATCGTTTGTAACAAGATGGTCTAGACATGGTTGGTCAATAGTATATGTACTAGATCACAACTATGGCACATATGTTATACTGCCCAGACAATAAAATAATCTGCATATTTCAGTTCAAATCAAATGCACACAGCTATCAAGTATAAATGACAATACCTATGCTCAGTGTTCCCTCTAGTCTGAGTGATTCCTCTAATATTCCTTGCGTTTCTTTAAAGGTGAGAGTCATTGGGCTGAATAATTATGCAAAAATGCCCACTTTATAAATTGCTTGTATTCAATCAAGTTGATTGGAAGATCAAAAAGGACTGACTATCAAGTCAAACATGTAAAAAAAATGCAGAACCACTATCAGGATTCTCTGGTGAAGTTCTATTATTCAAGTCTGCAATGTCTTATTGAAAGTAATGTATGTACTCTCAAGAAACTAGATACACAGGCAGTGTACTTGTCAGTCAATACTTACAAATATAATTGCACCAAAAGTTATGATTGATGGACCAATATTCATCACTGTTGCTACGATGACATGGAATCTGTGAAAATTAAGAAATGTAATAATATCTTCAATCATTAGAAATGGGTTTATACATGGAAGAAAGATCAAGCTACAGAATAGAATAAATCAGGGAAAACTGTAACCTACAGGGATGCATTATAACCTCATTTTGGGTAAAAGAAATGCTTTTATGATAAATCGATACCACCAATAAAAACTCAACACATTTTACTCGAAGGTGAAAAAGAGAAGAGAGAGAGAGAGAGAGAGAGAGAGAGAAATCGGATGAAGAGATATAGAAAAATGGGGGAGGGGGAAATAACAGTACAAGAAATATACAAAGATAAATTAGAGGGAAGCAAAAGAGAAGTAATAGGGGAAAGGATGACAGAAAAGAAAAAAAAAAAAATCGAAAATAAAAGACAAAAAAAGGGAATGAAAAAAAAAAAGAAGTGAGAAAGACACAGAGAGAGATGTCGTAGGACAGCAGTGAATGGTACGACACAGATCAAATGAAAATCTAGAAATAGATTACAAGTGAAACAGAGAGAGAGAGAGAGAGAGAGAGAGAGAGAGAGAGACAATGAAAACGAACTATAAAGCATATATATATGAATTGAAGTCATTAATACCTTTCTATGTTGTTGATAATTCTGACCAGTCTGAGTACCCTAAGGATCAGCAGAATATCTAACGTGGTTTCTGTCTCGTCTGTTATGAAAAAAAATGACCAGAAAGGGTTAAAACATTGTAAAATAGAAATTAAGAAAATGAAGAAATCTCCTACAAGTATTCAGCTAAGTTCCATGTTTATGGACAATGAATGATCATGTGGAGATTTAGAATTGTTTAACTTTATTTTTATGCATTATTCCCTACTTGTTGATGGACCCAAAATTCAGGTCCACAGAACTTCTGATAGTTATCCAACTTTGGAAATTATATCAGGTTGAAAATACACTTCAAAATAAGATTTTATGTGACAGACTTCATGCAGTTGTGGGTACATGTGTGTGTGGGGGTTTGTTTTGGTAATTGGTTTCGTATTTGCAGGCAGTTTGCTGCCTACGAACATACCCTTTTCTGGATGTTTAAATAATCCTTGTATGGGGAATGTTCAGTACAGACCTTGAATGTTTTTCTGCACCTTTAAATGTTTTTAACCTTTGAATGTTTATAACAATCATAATCAGTCAATTCATGATTAATATACTCACTGCTGTCTAGGATGGCTTCTATAATAGTGATGACAACAGCAGCTCCAATAACAAGAAAATCAAATCTGCAAAATAATTTTTTGGCGAAGAAATTAAAGGCCGGCTGTACTAGTTCAGCCAGAAGGGATTAGACCACACAGCGAGGTCACTGACAGGTGGCTATCTCATGAACTCGGCTCTCAATTAACATAAGAAAAAGAGGATCATGGGGGACCAACAGACACAGATTGGGGAAGTTTTCTATATAGAGGGAGCAAGTAGCTACAAGTAGGACAGTGTGGCTTTAAATCAAAGCAGAATTCACTTTATTTTCAATATTTACAGGTAAGATTTAAAATGGTTGCGACATATTCATCTGTTCCCCTACAACATGCAAAAGGAAATTTGCAAAATTTCTGATACCTCATTGAATATTTGAATCCAGATTTATGAACATATTTTGGCTGGGGATGTAGGAGATGGTACACATGATTATCAACTTTACTCTCATCTGTAGACAGGGCCAGTTATGGTTTCACACAAAGTTACTTACACATTCCAGAAGCTACGGAAGAATTTATAGAAGCCCAGAGCATACATCTTGAGTGCAATCTCCACCGAGAAGAGAGCAAGGAAGTAGGGTTCCCCCTCGTCTAGTTTGAATCCCACAAAGAATGCATTGATGATGATTAGTAGATCAAACACGTAGGTGAAGTATCTGTCAACAACATAGAGGGATATTAAAAGACATATTGAGTAAAATTACATTTGTTTTTGTTGTTGGGTTTTCATTGCAATGATTGAATTATGGTAATCTGTACAAGATGAACTAAGATATTGACACCTGGCAATTCACAAACCGATAAATTATCTTGATGCGCTTAAATTAGTTGGCGTGTAAACCTCGCTCATTTTAAAGAATACCAGCCTATGAATTTAAACTTGGTACAAGTATACACCTATGCACAATCTACATAATACTCCTTAGTTATCTGTGGCAGACTAAAGTTCTGGTAATGAGACTAGCTCTTGAGTTTTGTAACAAGTCAGACAGTGCTTTTCAGATAAGAATTTATTATAACTAAAGCTACAACTACCATGTATACTACCACTACAATAGCATCATCCCTACTATCACTAATACAACTACTACCTCTACCATACCACTATGTACCATCACCACTACCACTACCATTATAACTACTACTACTTCTACCACTACCACCCGGTCGCCCCACTCAGTTTTATTTAGGGTAGGCGTATGCATGTTCCCTCCTTTTGAAAACACCCTCTAAGTCTGGTGTGTAAAGTCAATATGGGCAGATTTTGTGTGTGTTACGAGCCGGACTTTGCTGCGTGAAAAGTACCCCTTTACCGGACATTTTGGGAACATGTATGCAATCCCTTCATTCCTGGAGTGGGGGGCTGGGCACTACCATGTATACTATTACCATAATCACTCCTACTACCACTACCGCTACCATACCACCACCACAAGCGTTAGTACAACTACTGGTATCACTTATGACTGATACTAAAACGCACCTATGACGGGCGGATCGCGCCATAAAGATGACAACTATACAACTATACATCCATCGAATGGATGTAGGGTTTTAACCAATCAGAACGCAGGAAACTGTACAACTATACAACTATACAACTATACGACTATGCAAACATACAGCTATAGAACGTATGTAAGGTTGTTACGTTTGCGGGCCGAAATGCCATAATTGCGAACAACCATACATCCATTCAGCTTTATGGTTGTACGGTTTTAACCAATCACAATGCAGGAAACTATACAGCCATGGCGGCGAGAATGTCTGTATAGTTTTATGCCTGTATGGTTTTAACCAATCATAATGCAGGAAACTATACAGCCATGGCGGCGAGAATGTCTGTATAGTTTTATGGCTGTACGGTTTTAACCAATCACAATGCAGGAAACTATACAGCCATGGCGGCGAGAATGTCTGTATAGTTTTATGCCTGTACGGTTTTAACCAATCATAATGCAGGAAACTATACAGCCATGGTGGCGAGAATGTCTGTATAGTTTTATGGCTATACGGTTTTGATCACAATGCAGGACATTATATAGACTAGCCATGCATCGCTAAACTTATGCAATAAGGCAAAGAATTTGTTGTTTAATTAACCGAACGATATTCTAAATAAACATACAAATATTACTCCCCAACTTGGAAAAAGATGGGCGAATTGCACCAGTTCATGCATTTCAGTCCCATTCATATAAATTCATCCAGGTCCAACTGCAAATGTCCACCAAAGTTTAATGTTCGGTTAGGAAAGGTACAAATTAATTAATTTAATTTATTCGTGCAGTTGATAACAATGTAGGTCCTCCACGTCATTAGGAATAATCATGTTGTAGTCTATATATACATTTGCCGATGGGTCTGTTGCTTAGAGAGAGATCTAGACCCTATATACCCCAGACTAGATCTAAATAGACCTAGGTCTAGATCTACAGTTGCCGATTTAGGAAATTAGATCTAGATCTAGACCTAGTCTAGTATTAGTAGATCTAAATAGGAGTAAATCTAGGCCTATAGTCTACTAATATTTCTATAATAGACCTAGATCTAGTCTACTAGAGTAGATCTAGGTCTAGTCTATAGTAATAATAGTCTAGATCTACTATTTACTAGTAGGTCTAGGTCTATTTATAGTAATAGTCCACTAAATTAAATAGAATAGTACTAGGCTAGACCTAGTAGTAGCAGTACTAATTAAGCACTAGATCTAGGCCTAGTACTAGTACTAGTACTAGACCTAGCTATCACCTAGTCTAGATCTAGTTCTGGTCGACTACTAGTAGATCTACCACCAGATCCAATATTATTTAGTACTAGTAGGCCTATAAGATCAATTTTTATTTTTATTTTTATTTATTCCATCATTGCTTTGCTATGTTCAGCATTCAATGGCTTTAGAGGCATAAGTGTCGGCTAAATTCAGACATTCTCACTGCCATGGCTGTATAGTTTCCTGCATTGTGATTGGTTAAAACCGTACAGCCATAAAACTATACAGACATTCTCGCCGCCATGGCTGTATAGTTTCCTGCATTGTGATTGATTAAAACCGTACAGCCATAAAACTATACAGACATTCTCGCCGCCATGGCTGTATAGTTTCCTGCATTGTGATTGGATAAAACCGTACAGCCATAAAACTATACAGACATTCTCGCCGCCATGGCTGTATAGTTTCCTGCATTGTGATTGGTTAAAACCGTACAGCCATAAAACTATACAGACATTCTCGCCGCCATGGCTGTATAGTTTCCTGCGTTCTGATTGGTTAAAACCATACAGGCATAAAACTATACAGACATTCTCGCCGCCATGGCTGTATAGTTTCCTGCATTGTGATTGGTTAAAACCGTACAACCATAAAGCTGAATGGATGTATGGTTGTTCGCAATTATGGCATTTCGGCCCGCAAACGTAACAACCTTACATACGTTCTATAGCTGTATGGTTGCATAGTCGTATAGTTGTATAGTTGTATAGTTGTACAGTTTCCTGCGTTCTGATTGGTTAAAACCCTACATCCAATCGATGGATGTATAGTTGTATAGTTGTCATCTTTATGGCGCGATCCGCCCGTCATACGCACCCACATGTTCAAGTTACCTGTGATTGATTACTTTCCTCATGAACAGACTTGCTTTGGAGTTGTAGCAGGTTGGGCAACGTCTCTCAGAAAAGGACTTCTGTTTATCCACTTGTACAATGGGCACATTCAAGATATCCACCACCTTCATGAAGGTGCGTTTATCTGCATCAAGACACAAACAATAGTAAAATGTTTAGTATAGGGAGTAAAGGAACGTTTCAACTTCGACATGGGATAAACACTATACCTCAAACTCACCATAACCTAACCTAACCTAAAACTCAATGGGAAACCCTAACCATTCATCTAATTTTTTGACATAATTAAGCCTGGGGAAAATTCTGCTAAAGCATGTGTCACAGCTCTAATGGCATGTTTCTTTTTTTTTAATACAACAAATAATCTTAAATAAATATTTCCTGCTCGGTAATGATTTTTAATGACTTTTTCATGACTTTTGATAAGTTTCCTTTCATTTCTTGACTTATATTTTTGACAATTTATAAAACAAGTTTTCAAACACAGTACCCCTCTTCATTGTTTTTCTAAAACACATATTGCTCTCCATTTTCAATCTCAAGCAGAATTTATTTTCTAAATATATATATATATATATATATATATATATATATATATATATATATATGCAGTATGAAACTCTTGGTGGTTCAACTGCGTACATCAATGAAAGGGTTAGAAGACCAGATCCACTTACTGATGAAATTGACCCCATCCTGATCGAGAACCCTCCATAGAAGACGTACATGGGCACGGTTTAGCTTAGGGGCTACCATCCCCATCATCTCCTTCCAGCGCCCCCAAGAGAGGAGGAAACGCCCCCCATGCCACTCCTTAAGAATGTCCCAGGCACTGGCAAGCTTGCGACGTTTGTTGAACACTGACTTCTGAACCTCGTTCTGACAAGAGATGGTACATTTCATTATGAAATCAAACAAAAGATATCACAGAATATAGAGAATGATTCAGAGAACAAGCACTAAAAAATGATACTGAAATCATCAGAGGATCCATATCATAATGACTTTTTATTTACATACAATCATCATTAAATACTATTCAAGAAATGCAAAACTAATCCATTAGAAAAGTACCAAAATTTGAGTGCTACTCCAAATTTTAACAATGCTGTTGCTGTTGCTGCCACAATAACTAACCCTATTAGTACTCATTTTCCTCCTCCTATTTCTATTAATGTTACTATTACATACCCTGCTACTACTACTACTACTACTAATGCTACTACGTAACTACTACTAGCATTATAATCACAATAATCATTATAAATATCATGATTGGTTAAAATGTATACCTTGAGATGTTTGCGGTAATTCTTGTAGATGACAGCCAGAAAGATGGACATGAATATATACAGGCAGATAAAGATATATGTGATGAAGTAAAGCATGTACCAAGGGTTGAAATCATACGCAGGCATCCTGTGGTGGAAATAGAAAAAAGAAAAATTAATTCTGGTAATAAAAACTATTTCAAATTGCATATATCATATAATATTATTATTATTATAATTACTATTATTATTATCGCTTACAGTAAATGACAATTACATAAATACATGTGCTAAGAAATTTTTTTTCCAACTTCAAACTGCAAAAGAAAAGTGTTTTCAAGGGCTTTCTAAAGGTTATCACTTATTATCTAATTCTAAGTGTAGATCATTCCAATTTTTCAATGGTAGCTCATAACTCAGTCATTATATTTTCTTCCAAAATTGTAGATATATATAATACTTGCAGGTTCGATCATTTTGTGTCATCTTTGTTTGATAGTGTAGAAATGTATTTTCTATTATTGTTAGATCTCCTGATCATCTTTAATATGAACTACTTCTTCACAGTGATCAATGGTCCCTTGGGATAATGTGTATCAGACTGAATTTCAGGAAAATCAAGAAAGTTCCATTATGTGGTCACACAAATGGTTAAAAAGCCTGGTCATACTTACATTATATCTGGACTGTTTGCTGTTGTTACAAGAACGTAGAGGTCCCACCAAATCTCCCAAAAATCTGTAAAGTATGGAGAAACTTCATCGACCTTCTTTAGATTACTGTATATATATACAAGAAAAAAGAGAGAGAAATGATTAGGGGAACTCAAACAGGAAAGAAACAGATCAATATTCCAATGCCCTATCTTATACATAATTTTGATTATTTCAAATTGATAAAAACTTGATACCTATCGCATCTCTGTACTGATAAGATATACGTTTCAGGTTTACAGTTGATAGCAGGACTTGCAATCTAAACAGATTAATTGAAGCTCTTTATGAGACAGGGCCCTGAGCTTTGGATGGTGACATTAAAGGTTGGTCCCCAGACGTAAATAATCATATCTGATTTATACACGTCTGTAAAAACCCATTACACACATTAGTAGATCGGACAGTATATTTGGGATATCCTCTCTTTAAAGATGAAGAGTGTAAAGGAACTAAATTTATTGGAAATTTGACAAGCCGAAAATAGGATTAGCATAAATTCAAGAAGTAAACAGTGAGCTAAACAGCTCTAGAGAGCCCTGTCTTCCTGATATGGTCATACAGTAATGATATCAAACTAGTTACACCTTACCACAGTTCTACAAAGAGAGTAAAAAACAACTATGCTCATGTTACATACTTGTATAGACTTCACCTTACTGGAAATTCTTGACCTTGCTGTTAGCTTATCAACTTACTGGTACTACTTCGCTGAAGGTCAAACATTAATACAATGATGAGCATAGACATTGATGTGATGAACTAAACTTACTCATTTCCAAAGAGCTCTCTACCAAGGAGAGCAAAGAGAGCAATGACAAGAAAGAGAAGGATGAGGACATTGAGAATCTCAAGAAGCGTCTTACGGATGTTGCTGAAGGCTAGACGAACCTGGACAAGCACACATGAGAATCAATCAAGGGTACTAAGCCTGAGGGAATGATTGTGTGGTAAAGGTTCCTGCTATTGTCTAAGCTGCCAAAATGATGTCTATAGTAGGCTTATAAATTCAGGACTACATTTATCTGAACTGCACAAATCAGTTATCATAAAATGGGATGAATAGACACAAGCAGGGTGAATATCAATGAACAATGGAAAGCATTTCAGAAATACTTTTCCCAGGAATAATTTAGATCTTTTTCTAGGGCATGCAGTAGTATATGCAATTCAGTCTGCTTTGTTCCTAGGGGGGAAAACAAAATATCAATAACAACAAATTAGTTTCCAACTTTTTTTTCAGTTCACGCTGATGTTCCAATTCACGTGGTTTAAGTTACTAAATGTCTAGGCTGATTTGAAGGAGTGGGCTGAGAAAGAACCCTACAGGAGTGGTACAGATCATTCTGTTTGTAATTTGTTTTATTATTTTCTTTCATGAATAGAACTTTTAAATACAATTTTGTTCTCCAATTTAAGTAGCTAAAACAAAGAAACATGTAAACTAATAAACAAACAGATAAAGCACACACACAAAAAACAGTAATACCTGTTCAAACTATACTTTCAACTCCCATGTACTTACCAGTTTCATTTCAGCAAAAGTGACCATTAGCACTGGCCGGAGGGGTCTTGACCATCGCACAGCCTTGTCCTTAGCACCCAACTCATACATCATAGTGAACATCACCATGTCAACAACTGTCAACTGAAAAAGGCCATTAGAAAGGAGAGAAGAAGGGTTGATAAACTAGACTATTCTTGTTTAGGTGACATTATTTATTACAAAAATTGCATTGTATAAGAAACGTTGTGGAATCGATCAGAAAAGGTTGATCATCTAGCATATAAGTATTGGTGTGTACTGCAAGGTTCTGGAATCATCAAAATGATAAGAAATTTGGCCCAGTCTTCGTAAAGTTACAAGCACTGTACACAGAAAGATGTATATAGGACTACGTACACGTGCGCGACACGTGCGTTTATCACTCACACACCAATAGATAAACTAATTTACCAAATATATTGATTAGTAGGCGGTTTCCCGGCAAATTTTGTATCATCATGTATTAGTCAAAACATATTCTTTCACATGATTGGTAATAAGAGCTTCCATTTCATTTTTTGAAATTGGGGTGTTTCCAATACTGGTCTTTACCTTTAATGTCCATCTTTTAATTGGATCCAATCATAACAAAATATACACAAAAGAAAACCTTAAAAAATGTAAAAATAACATAAATATTCAATAACCACTATGGCTGCAACACTGACTGCAATACCCTAACATTCATTCAAATGGAGTGCCTCAATACATGGTAGCAGATGTAAATCTATTTCCGGTACATTCAATGAAAAAATACAACACATCAAATTCAGACTTTTTGAACCCAGTGTATAGTGATATTAAACCAAAGCACTTAGAGACATCTGACATGTATACGGCGCTATATAAACCCAGAATAGTATTGTTATTAATATTGGTGAATGCATAAAGAGGATTTACTTACGATGATGACAGTAATGCTTGCAACGTTTTTCATATCTCGGAACCATCTCCCTGCTGCACAATAGTGGCTGTGGAGAAGTCGCAGGGTGAAATAGACTAAGCAGCTAGTCTCCAATAACATTGAAGCCTAAAATATACAGGAATAATAACAGGTGTCAAAAATCGACTGTCAATTTAACAATGGTTGTGTGTGACATACAGTGTATACTCCCTTCGCTCCTCTCAAGGCATCACAACTGCTGCTCCCAAACCCTTGGAATAACCTACCCATATCTCTTCATAACCAACAATCTGTCAATACTTAAAAAAAAATATCTAACGAATCACATCTCCTGTTAACAATATAACTGTAAAGCGCATTTGACTCTATATATAAAATGCGCTATATAAATACATTATTATTATTTTCATTATGAAAAACATAAAATCCACGCATTCAAATCCCTCTAAGCGATTCACCTTTAAAAAAATCTATGCATCAACTATTTAGTACATGTAGTTCATATTATGTCAGTATTTTATATCATGCATATGTAACTTTTACTACCGGTATGTAATTTTTAAAAACGTTATTTGATAATCATTTCATACAGTCTACAAGAAGATAATTCATTACTAAATTTATAAGCCATAATTCCTTCATGTCAAACTTATATCTTGAACACAAGTTACACTCACTGTACCTCTTTGAATTATTCCCAATTTATGGGGAATCGAAAGGAAATTTCATTCAGGGGATTTCAATTTAGAATAACGATTGAAAATTAGCAAGGGGTATATATATACATAATTGCAAATACTATACCTCTAGAATCTTGCTAAGAAATAATCAGAAAAGGGAATAACTTATGGGACTTTCACTGCATTATATCACTTTTAAGGAACCAGAAATGTTAGGATAATATATTTCTTTTCTGGGAAGCCACAATTTGTGGGTGGCTGTTGAATCACATCAGGTAATAATCTGTACATGTAAGAATAAAATTCAATGGTGCTTTTATGCCCACGTATGTTTAAAATAAAATTAGATTAATAGATTTACATACCCAGTAAGGTATATGGAGGTTTCCTACTGCAGGCTCTTCAAAGATGGCTAGAGATAGATTAAGGAGCATGAAGAGATACAGCACCCAGCTAAAGATTGGCATGTTGTACAAATGGTAGTATCTGTATAGTGCCGGGAAGAGACCAAGTAAAATAGAAAATTGTATAAAAGATGATTAGGACAGGAATATCATAGAAATGATCGTATCTGGACTGATACACGTAAATGGAAAATAAAAAATTATGTTATGAGGATGTGAACCCCAATGCTGTTTAGTTCATTGTTTATTCAAGCTATAGTTAATACCCCCTTCACATACACTGATTTTCCTTATGAGTCCTTACGGATCGCCAACTTGTAGTCAATCGCAAGCATCCGTAAATAACTCAATGGTATTCGTAAATAACTTGTCACAACTCGCAGACACTCGTAAGGATCCGTGAACGGAGAGGCAAATTTGGTGACATGTCAAAAATCTTCTTACGATTGTCCACGGATTTATTTTTCCGTAAATAGCTCGTAACAATCCGTAAGTATCGTAAACCACTCGCAACAACACGTAACGATCTGTAAACTGCTCGCAAGAACCCATAAATGACTCGTAAGAATTTTTTTAACGATTTGTTAGGGTTATTTTACTATTTGTTTACGGATTATTTACGGTTTCATTCGGTTTGTGTTACGATGGCTTTACGTATTGTTACAGGTTAATACGAGCACTTTAAGTATAGTTACGAGTACTTCCCGAATAGATACGTATACTTTACGTATACTTGTTTACGATTTGGGGAAAGGTAGAAAAGCTGTAAACTCGTTAATACTCGTAACTAAGTCGTAACAACACGTAAACACATCGTAACTAACAGTTGCTCGTAGTTATCCGTGACAACTCATAACAAATCATGGAATTTTGCAGTAACAACTCGTAATAATTCGTAATAATCCGTAACTAACCATAAATAGCTCGTAACAACTTTTAAATCGTCGTAAAAGTGGCCAAATTGTAAGGATCCGTGAAAGATCCGTGAATTTGTGTGATCCGTAAGGACTCGTAAGAAATATCTGTGTATGTGAAGGGGATATAAGTCTAGTTGAGACACTTGTAGTGTGAGTTTGTAATTTATGTAATGCCAAAATGCAGATGGACTACAATAGTACCTGAGGTTATTTCAATAGGTTATGAAGATCATAACATATTAATGTACATTTATGAGTTTCTTCAAGAGACTGTATTATTGCTATGAATTTGATGATGCTTTGATGTACTTGTTTTTTAAATCCTTTATCTGTGTCATTATTCCACAGTTTTCACGGAATGGAATGGTATGGAGTACAATGAAGCAAGATTTACTCCAATCATTAAAGCTACAAATTCGCATGGAAACCTTTCTCCAGACTTATCTTAGTTGTTGACCTCACTACAGCCACACTTATAGTTTAGCAGCAAATACAGAAAGACTAAAGCTTTAGTATGCCTGTGTTCACTGCTATTTATAGGTTTCGTTCTAAAAGTTTAAAAGTTTTTTTCTACATGTACATTGTAGATAAAACTTGAAGGGACAAGTATCCAAAAATATATGATGGTGATACAAAATATGATTATCATATCATATATGCTATTCGAAATAAACATTTTGAGAAAAAATATTCATTGTATGAACTAATGTAAAGCGGACTGAAATCATTACTTAATTCATTTTCATTGAAATGTAACAGTTAGTATTTTGTATTTTGAGATCCCTTTCTGTGAAATATTCATGAGATTATTTGGACTACTTCCAATTGTATTTATGGCTCACTGGGAGTGTTTCACAAAGACTAAGATCAACTTTAAGTTGGACTTATCTATGGCAGGCGGTTCATGCCACTGTTTGCTCTCACCATTATGATCTTTAAATAATACTTTTTCCTTCAATAATGAATTATCAAAAAATGTAAGTTCTGTAGATTTGAGACCATGATTTGTACATCCCTTGAAAGACCAATGCCAGTAAATGGTGAGAGCAAACAGTGGCATGAACAGCCTGCCATAGTTAAGTCCAATTTAAAGTCGTTCTTAGTCATTATGAAAAAAACCCAGGTCTCTACTATCCATCAAAAATTACAACAAAACAAAACAGAACAGAAATATTTCATGCACTGCTTTCATAAAAAGATTTTGCAGGATCAACATTTCTGAGAAAATGTCACTTATAAATCATGAAAGGTAACTACTTCACAACATCCCAATATTCCCACTTGCTTCCCCCGCTCTCTTCCTATCGCATTCCTGTCATTAAATTACAGTCTTCCTCTAAAACCCTTATTTATATCCCTCTCTTCCTTTCGAGTCTAATTGCTTAACTAATACACTCTTTGTCGTATAACTCTTCATTCCCTCTCTCTCTCTCTCTCTCCCCCCCTTCCCCTCACCCTAGCTCTCACTCTCCTAATACACACACTTCATCTGCAAATTTGTATCCTTCCCTACACATACTCACCCTTGTTTATGATGGTATCTTATATTTCAATTCCTTTATTTTTTCTTCTCATTTCTGTAACTTGTTGTACTTTTCACCTTGTCTTTAATAACCTACATTACAAAATATTTCAAGATTAACCGTTGACATTAGTTACAAAAAATATTTTACTAACCTTAAATGTTGTTCTGATGTTTTGAATTTGAACTTCCTGCCATACTTAGCATCTTTGATATACGTCGCTGCTAGGAAAAGATCCTAAACACAAGTAGAAATAAGAGAGGAGAGACAATACAATATTAATTCTAATAATTATTATGGGGAATGCAACAACAGCAATTCAACATTTTTTTTCATTGATGCACAAACTAGAAGCACAAAACTAGAAACAGATTCTGAAGTAATATACATTCCATCATAACTTGTGCAAAATATTTCTGACACAGTCAAGGATACAACATCTAATATTGAACGGGTTTCCTCTTACAAATTAAGGAGGTAGTGAAGAAAATTTGAAAGGAAATGATTGTACCTCTCTTCTCAAGGCAATTCTGGCAGGACATAATACAATTATAATATTTCATTTGCTGTTGCAAGTGAAAAATAACTCAAAATTCAAGCTGATTTCCAAAAGGAGGCAAGAAAAAATGTTTGGTGTTTTGAGTTGTCTGGCTTATTTTCATAGGGTATAGCTTTCACTATATATAAAGACATAGATTGAAACACAATCTTCCAAATTACAAGGAATACATCTACGTACCCCATAAAAAGAATAAAACAATAGAATAAACAAACAGATATATAGATAGACGGGTAGATAGACAGACATATAAATTAATAATAGATAAATAAACTAATCAATCAATCAATAAATTAATGAATGAGTACATAAATGAATAGAAAGACAAATAAATGAATAAATAAATGAATAAATACAATCCAAAATGCTAGATTTAAACAAACATGTACATTGAACTATTTCCCCTAGCATAATATATTTTTTAAAGCTACACATACCGGTATATGTATTTGTCTTATATATATATATATATATATATCTGTTAAGTAGACTAGCCATAGAAGCTAGGTTACTGGACTGTGACCTCTGCTGTTTGGGGATTGATGGATATCTTAATCAAACATTCAGTACCAGGGGATTACAGTCTGTATCTTCACTCAATTTGCACCTTAGCTCCATTTATAGAATGTCTCCATCGTAATTCATGCATGCTGTGATTGTATCAGAGCTATAAACTGAAGAGTTTGTGTCACACAGCTTGCAAAGTAGGCAGGATTATGTCAATAAGCAAATGACTGTTTAAATGGTAGGGGTAAAATTTTGAAATAATAAAAAGTACATTAAGATATATGTAATATACAAAATAAATTATGAGGATTTCATTATGTTAGTCTAAAAAGTTTAGTATTTCTTGTGAATTAATTAAGCAAGTAATATTGTGTGCAATAAGTATACTCTCTGCATCCTCTTCCTGCAAAAGAAAAGCAAAATTCTTGTCCTGAAACTGCTGCATTAATTGGTTTAAATTGGTGCAGCTGATAACTTAATCAAAAGTATTTTAAATAGAACCCTCTAAACACAACCTTTGTATTTAAAGGTGCAAATGAACATTTTTATAAATTATACAAAAACTACATATAGCTCTTGAATAGGATGGTCAAGCAGCAGTCCACTGTTGGATGAATGAATGAATGAATAAATGCATGAATGAATGAATAAATTAATAAATTAATAAATAATTACTTTTTTTAATGTAAATATGTAATTTAATTAATTGAGAAATGAACAAATTGATGAATAAATAAATAAGTAAAATAAGTAAAATGAATAAATAAATATTTTGAAATGACTAAAACATCCACTAACCAGCGCCTTGATGGGGTGTAATGAAACGCTGAATGCTTTAGCCCTTCCATTTGCATTGACTTCCATCTCAATGAATTCTATTACAGGTGTCAGCTCTTTGTCTGATCTCGACGAGGATGATGAGGTCACAGGAGATGAGGGTTCAGAGAATGTGGTATTGTCCAATGATGTGGTATGTTCCAATGTATTGTCAGATGTTTTGGTATTGTCCGATGTCTTGGTATTTGAGGACTTGCTCTTGCTCTGTCGCATGTAGCTATCAACATAATCCTTGGGGCCCTCCATCTTCGAACAGTTTGTTTAAAACCGGTCTGTATAGAATTATAATACAAAATATTTATGAAATCTGTTACAGATCACATCCAAACTACCAATCATGAAGAATATGAAAAGCAAAAACAAACAAACAAAACAAAAAAAATAAAAGAGAGAATGAATAAAGATATTTTGGATATATTGATTTCTTTTCTTCAATACTATCTATTATTTAGGACTCTTTAATGCATTTTTCAATCATTAGAAAGTGAGATAAGTATCTATCCGTTGGGTTTTTCAAATTCCTTCCAAAAAGAAATATGTAAATAATCAAAAGTCTCCGACTGTGGTGTTTGTTAAAAGGAAAAGAAGGTAGAAAACAATCATACAGAACAAAACAAATACAATCTTTTTCAATACACTGAATGGTAATTATTGTTCTTTAAATGGGTGTGCAAGAAATTGAAATATGGCCTTCAAAACTATCAACAAAATGACCATGTTAAGGGCATTAAAGAAACATTATTATTATTGTAAGTTTTAGAAGACAGTACCGGTATATTAAATATAACCTTTTTTTTTTTTAAGTGGTCACTGGGGTGGTGAGTAACGATATAATAAAAGAGAAGTAGATAATGCGTTTTAAAAAGGTGAAGTAATTTAAAGCAATATGATAATAGATGAAACATTTTTTAACGAGGAGAATTATTACCAAATTATTAATACTGTAATGTTGGATCAATAAAATAAAGGGAAAAAGGGAAAAAAAGAAGAGGAATGGATGAGTATAGAGAGAAATAAGGGAGAGAGAGAAAAATAGAAAAAAATATAGGAGATGTATGTATTAAAGTCCATAGGGAAGGAAATAGAAAAATGTAAGAAAAGAAGGTTTGAGAAAATATGGATAACTTACCATCAGCACACAAGGTATATCACAGTTGTTGCTCTACCTCCCAAACAGCTTGAGGTATAATCTGTTCTTTCCTATATTCTGCATGGGATATGATCCTGTAATTTTCTCTCATATATCACAATTCATTTCCACACCATTACAATGGTCTGGTGCTACAAGTGTTCCCACTTCAAGTCTCAAGTCCAAGCTAAATTCAAGTTTTCATCAAATCAGAAACTTGTCCAGTGACATAAGAATATCTTCCAAAGGTCGTCCCACCTGAGCATGTTTAAACTTACTTCCACTTGTCAAAAGTCCTGGTCACTTTATTAATTCAAAACTCTTTTTACAATAGTTATGAAAGAAATCCACTCACTGGACACACATTTAATACACCCACATCACAAGTCCACTACATATTACTTCAGAAGTAATTGTTTGCATAGCTACTTAAAACAAATATCGGGTTTGTTTACATTTTTAGGGGGTGTTGCCTCCAATTGCCTATAGAGGGGGTGGATACACTGCCATGGCATAAAACCATTGAGCACACACAGGAGGGGAAAGGAAGGGGGCTTTTTAGCATCTTGGACATGAAGTACATGTTCATGGATGACTCACAACAGAGAGTCATAAGACAAGGACATGGCACTGAACATATTGGAAAATGTTCAAGATACAAGATATGATTGTCTTTCATCATTGTAATCTAGGAATGATTCATGTTCAATGCTGAAGGGAAAACATTCTCTTTTTAGTCAGAACTTGACCTACATGTACATGTAGTTGAAATATGTAATGAGTTGGTCTAGCTTTGAAACAATAACAACTGTTCATCCTTCATTTGTGGGGCACATTGCATCAACAAAACTGTATCATTTCTTTCTATTCATTACCTCCTCTGTTCACAGACACTCTCCTTGTAATAATGAAATATTAAATAATACATTAAAATTTATTAATCACAGCCAGAATATTGAAGGAAAATATTTGAGTAAAACGCAATGTCACACAAACTGCATTACCAAAATTCATGCCTCTGAATCATTTTCGAAAGAAAAACAAATTGTTTTGAAAATATCCTGATCATGTATTCCAAAGAATGGATTTAGAAGGTTTTATCTGTATACACAACTTGTACAACTAAATACAACTTGACTATCTGAAAATCAGAATCATATATTTAAGACTTGTTTTAGTTTTTAGAATTGCACTCGATTCACCATCTTTTTTTTTAATCCAGAAAAATGGGTTGCATATTTGGAGAATGAACTGGATTGAAAAATTATCAGTTATTCTGGCAGTCATTAGATGCAAGATTTAGGGGAGCAAAGAGGTGAATTGATTTTCAAATTGTTATAATTTATCACAAATTTTACTTCACAAATAATCAATTCTGATGAAGAGGATTTTAGTTTTTAAAATAATTAAACTTTATTTTATTTACAGATTTTGATTGCAACAGCTGACTTTAACTGCTCAATCACAAATTGTGTCATGCATTAACTTTCCATTTTGGAAATATTATTATTCACTTACAACAAGTATATTAATCTTCCCTACAATATGCATTTCATACATGTATGTCTTTGAATCTCAATACCCCAAGATGAAATTTCCATGAGAAGTGCATATAGATTATGATTTAAATTGGTAATATATTTGGATATTTGGAATATATTTAAACGTTTAATTTGATTTTGTTAACCTTGAAGTATCTGTAAAGTTTTAAACTAAATTGCACAAAAATTCATTGTACTTGTTTAGTTGAAATATTTTACTTGGTATTTGTTTCCCCGTTGCACATGACACCTGCATGTTACACATCTGAGTTTTGAATTAAATTGCTCTGTTCAATTTAAATGTAAGATAGTACCTTTCATAACTGAAGTAATGTTACTTTGCAATTTAGAAACTAAATGAAATAGATATTATTATTGAGATTAACAAGCAACATCAATTGAAGATGTTCTTCTAAAAAAGAATACTACATGCACTTTAAAATAACTGGCATATCTAGATGGATGTGCCAGTTGTTTCATCTTGGCTTATCATCCCATTATAATAAAATTGCATTCTAACAATGGGAGTAAAGCCTCATAACTTTTGCATATAATATTGCAGTTTCCAAATTGGTGGTGAACATTTTATAACCTCAACTTCCAAAGTTTGCTTTGTGATATAATTCACAATAAATTCTTGTCATTTTAATAATATCATGCGACTTGTGTGTCATAACAAGGCTGATATGAAATTCCACACTTTACACCTACTGGCCTTGGCAAACTTATCTGGTTACTTATACATTTGTAAGTTCAACAAAACAATATGAAACTAGTTGGGTACAGCATTATTATACAGCATATGTGTAGATATGTCGATATTACTCATGAGTTTATCCCAAAATCAAGCTTGGTATGCGGGTAATTGTAAACCACAAATATTATGAAATACTGGAAATATAATGAATATGATGATGATCCTTATATAAAGTTAACACCGAACAATTGGAATCGAATATCATATATTGTAGCTTGAAAATCAAGAAGTTAGGAGTAAGACTTTGGATCGATGAATTTAATGAAACTTACATTTTGTTATATAATCATATCTGACCTTAAATAATAACAGAAAAAGATGTGCTTCTAGTCTACATACAAGTACTTTGTGCTTTGAACCTTTGTAGGCAAGATGCATGAATGTAAATTTTCAACACTTTATGTGAGTACATGGCTTTGTATTAGAGTTAGAGCAAGGGGGTCTCAAGTTCTGAAGGATAGCATAACTTGATGTTTAACCACCTGTAGTGATCGTATTATACAGATCATATTAAGTCCTCTGCAGCTCCTATAATAATGACAGATAGTTAAGTTAGAACTTATTGTCGGTCATCTTTTGCTTTTATTTAGGAGCTCTATATTGTAACTCACTGCAGATCAAATCAAGTTTCTTACCCAGGAGTTAATCATCGATGCTGAATATATAATATGCGTGAGACAATTTTGGAGCAAGTTTCTGGAACGCCAGGCAGAGGAGATTACTGGTGCTAAACAAGAAGCCATTGTCCTTATTCTCGTCTTTATGCACACATGTAAAATCTGAGCTGATAACATCCAATATATATATAGCTTGAAAATAAATTCTTGAAGACGTCATGCTAACACTGAAGGTCTTATAACAGTTTTTATCTTGGCTTACTTTCAGAATGTCAGAGTTTGAAAGAGAACGACGCACCACAGGAACAACCCATCTCTGCTCCAGGGTTATCAATGACACTGAACGCTGACCTGATGAGCTCCTCGTGGTAGTCTATCGTTGAACCCTTGATGTACTCCAGGGATACATCATCCACTACCACCTTAGCACCGTCTCTCTCAAACACCCTGCATAGAAACAATGAACGAGTTCTATCATGCTTCTATAATTCCATACCACATCTCTGACATAATTTTCTCTCTCACACATATAAAATGTGTGTAAATGTTCAGTACATGACATGACTACATTCTATTGTTTTCAATTTTTTTTTAAATACTAGTAATGAAATGCAAGGCTGTTAAAATCCCTGTGATTCGTCAGCTTCCCAAAAAGTTATTTCTTAAAGTAATATATTGCCAAGAGGTAACTTCTAGGCTAATTTTTCATCCCATAATAGTGTTGACTGACTTTGTCTCATTGTCAATATTATTGGTGATTTTCAACTTCCCTGTTCATTTCTCATATAAATGTACATGAGGCATTTTATGTCCGAATTAGAAATACAGTTGCACATACATCCTATGTCCACATAACTTGAAACTTACTTTCGAAAATGGCAAAAGTGTAGGAAAAGATGATAGAATTACAGTGTTTAAATAATTGCATGAACAAATTCTTCACTTTACATTACTGAATCAAATCTTTTGACCTGTGACTTTAATGCTAAATGATCTTATTGGTGTAATTGATAACTTCTGATTAAATTAGAATGGACGAAGACAAGAACATGAAAGGTTCCAATAAAATGATTGTGTGAATCTTTATCCATACCTATCATCGTCTGTCATCTCTGAATCCATTTCAAACTTGTATTGGAAGCCTGAACATCCTCCTCCTTCAACAAGAATCCTAAGAAACTCTTTGTCCTCTCCGAGTTTGTGCAGTTGCTGTAGTTTGGATGAAAAATAGAAAATATAGGATGGAGGCGGGTTGGATGATAACGTTTCTTGAAACTGAATTGTTACAAGACTAAAGTCATAATCATGAAGGGTGTATAAGATACATTTTACGTAACTTCAATAATTCATAATTGTTTTCCCAATTTAGCTCTAGCTAGCCCGAATGGCATAGGTGAAAATCACTTTCATGATAAACCTCAACTACAGGATCCCACTGCATGAGTAGTGATTCTGCTTCTTGTAATAAAGAACTATCTAAATCAATACACATGCAATAATATTTGTTGACAAATTTGCTTTTCAGTGCATATTGTAGTTAAAGCTTATACATTGATTGTGAATTTACTGGTAAACAGATATCATGATTACATAAAGTGAAGGAATATGCTAAACAGAAAAAGCAAAACCATTCTTCTACAAAACCATGATGATCTGAAATTATACATCTATAAGAAAAATGTAAAGAATACTTCTTTACACCTAGGATAAGGAACCAACTTAATTACATTTAAGTATATGTTCATGTATGACTCAACAGAGAGTCAAAAGACAAGAACATGACACTGAACATATTGGAAAATGTTCAAAATACAAGATATGATTGTCTTTCATCATTGTAATCTACAAATACCACCTACAAATGTTGTAAGATTCATTCTGAGATCATTAAACTATACACCCTATAGCTAATTTAACTCCATTTGTACAGTATATGAAAGGCATCGAGTCCTTGGCTTGTACAAGCTTTGGCTCTCACCCTGACAAAATGGTTGTCTGCAGGCACAGGTTAATATTCAATCATTATTCCATAAAGCCCTGGCTTTGTCAATAGGAGCAGCTACAGTACAGAGCCTATGGAGTGCAGTAGAGTATTCTACATAGTCTCACAGTATAGACAAGTGACAACGGTTTGTGCTTGCAAACTAAGAAAAAGACAAGACATAAAACATGAGGCTTGGCTTGGCATTCATTTTGGAGCTGAATCTAACCTTAACACAGCTATCACTCAGTTTGAGCTCAGGTTGAGTTGATTCTTGTGCTTCTGCTCCTGTTGACATTAGCTGAGTCTTAGATCCAGTGGTTGGGGCACACTTCAATGCTTGAGTCCTACAAAGAGAATATAACAAATGTTAACATATCATTGTTTAGTCCAAAGACTTTAGGTTGGTAAGTTTTGGGGGTAGTTTTTAAGTACATAAAGTGCATTGGCTGTTTTTTAAAAGTTTATGTTTACTTTTTTTTTTAATCATTAATTTCTTACCGGTATGTCAAATAATATTTGTTTTATTTTTTAATGACGAGATCTGTCAATTAAATTTTCTCAGTAAAGCTCTTACTTGCACAAATAGTCCTTTATATAAGTGTTCTTTTTATTCATCTCTGGGGCTGTTTACATCTTTGAAATTTGAAGATTCTTGCAAAAGTCTTCATAAATATTGTACCAGTATGTCACAAGAGTATGGTAGTGCATATATCGCTAAGTTACAAATTTCACTCAGAAGCAGCACCAGTATCACTAGACAAATGGTTGGGTAGAGGGAGCTATAACAGCATCCTCTGAGGGAATGTTTAATACCTTGACAATTGACAGTTTTGGTAGGAAACAGTCAACAAGATAAAATATTTACTTTGTTTAAAAAATTATATAAATTCATTTTTTTTCCATATAGGGTCTACATGTACAGTTAAACAGAAAAGTGAGTAGAAACTGTTATAAGTTTGACATATTAACTTAACCCATTAAGTACTGGGGGTCGTTTTTATGAAACCAACTACATGACAGTCAGATTTTTGTCCCGAACCTAAAGAGTCCGTTTCTGCACGAAGCAGACAACTTATTTTACAAAACCATGATAGGCGACAACTTTATGATTTCGATACTATCGGCTAAAACTGATAGTCTTTGTCCATCAGATTTTATTCTGAATTATCGAACAGATAATAAAGCTTTAATTTCACCCAAACTGTTTGAAAATGTAAAAATATATGAGAGTGGGAGCACAAATGATACAAACGTTCAAATGTACTGTATGTATGTATGAAAGCATGTGTTACTAATAACATTTCAGGTAGCTTTAGCAACAAGCAATTAGAAGTTTGCAAGTAAGAGCATACCATAACCCATGTCCAATCAAAGGAAGACCCTGATTTTATTTCTAGTCCAAAAAATAATGAAAAGAGGATATTTATGACTCATATTTTTATTATTTATTGATCAAATAATTATGTGATAAGATTTTTATCAAGTTTAGGCTCGAGAATGGAGAATATCTACCGAAGTACTCGAGCATTCGACTACTCGTCGCAACCCTAGTACATGTAAGCTTATCATCAGGAACAGTCGTGGATGGAATTAAAGAAAAATCGATATAACTCTGGTATCAAATTTGTGTTAAATTCTAGGCCAATTTCAAAGTGTTTTTTATGAGAAGAAGAAAAAGTCCACTACCGAAACTCTGAAGTCAGTGTGCAAAGTTCATTGGGTGCGGGATGTAGGAGTGGGTGAATAAGAACGCATTTTATGTTTGGTTTACATCATTCTTGATGCAGGGGTATGGGTGCCATAACAATATCATATTTCATATTATCACTAAGCCCTTAAGGCTAAAGACTACCACGACCGCTTCTAGTGACTGAATGAAGCTTTTGGTGTAGCCGTGACCAATCGAAAATTTAATTAAAAACTTCCAAATTCTTGTGAGTGATGATGCCTGATCAGTAGGGGCGCTGGTCCGAGAATAAGGATTGTCAGCATAAACAAGGGGCCTCTTCCCAAACACGGACATACGCGCCTGCAAATATAAGGATCGTCCGCATTTTCGAAGACGTTTCATTTTCCGATCCGCGCATTGGTGATGCGTAAAACAGATTTCACAATGATTTTCTTGATGCATTTCACATTAAAATGATATTTCAACTGAAGAAAAACTGGTTTGTGCATTACTATCTATACATTGTGTATGATAGAATAACGTTACATCATATACATGAAGACATCATCATACATTTTCATTTCATCAAAAGCGATATGACATCTACCTTAGAGAAGCGAAAAACTTACAATTTATTAAGTAGGTGGGACTGGACTTCCCAAAAATACACAAATAATAGACCAAATGATGCGTTATTAAGAACACTAACCTGTTATGCATTATTACAGATGAACGTCTGCAAGCACCTATGAGAGTGCCCATCAATCTGTAACCACATGCTGCCATTTTAACTTGTTTTTTGAGCGACATTCACATCATCTGATGACAGTATTATTTTATGCATCGACTCTCTCTCTCGCGCATAATTTCACCATTGAATTGCACACGTAACATGCACTGTGCATATACGGCAAATAAACATAAAACACTACTTCCGGTTACCCTTTAAATTCAGACTGGTATCAGAACACATCTTGGTGAAATTGATGTAAGGAACCGATAAAAATGAAAGTTATGATCATTGTATGCCTATATCAGAAATCCCTGCCTATATTATATTTCATTGTATCTTATGTAAATTTTATATAGTCAAACCGGTCAATAATGGCCACCTAAGCCCGCTAAGACAGCAGGTTTGACTGTATTTGAAAAGTTTATAGATTAAAACTGCACAGCCAGTACAGTCAGTGGGGGCTCAACCACGGGGGGGGGGGGGGGGGGGGGGGGGGGGGGGGGGGGGCATATGGAGCCCACACCCAGACACCCTCCACACTTTTTCAAGTACACCTATAGGTTATAGTACCCCTTTGTACATAGGAAAGGTGCCCCTTTTCACTTCAGATAAGTGCCCCTTTTTATTTCTAATAAGTGCCTCTTACCACCTCTGATAAGTATGATAATTGCCCCTATTCAAATCTGAGAGGTGCCCATTTTACTTTAACAAGTGCCCTTTTTTGTATTAAGTGCCCAATTTACTACCTGATGAATGCATCTTTTCATCTTTGATGAGTGCCCCTTCTCACCTCTCATAAGTGCCCTCATGCCCCTCATCTTATAATGAATGCCCTATTTTCTTCTGATAAATGCCCCTTTGTTTTAATAAGAGCCAAGTTCTTTTCCTCATAATTGCCCTTTCTTAAACGGTTGATAAATTCGTCTATTGAAATCTCATAGGTGCCCCTTTTATTTGGACATGTGCTCATTTTCCTTTTTGATAAGTGCCCCTTTCCATTCTCAAAAATGATACTATTCATCTCAGGTAAGTGCCCCTTTTCAGGTACAAAAATACCCTTGACCACCTCGGATAAGTAACACTTCATCTCTAATAATTGCCTCTTTTCAAATCTGAGAGGTGTTCCTTTTGTTTTTACAGTTTTAAGTGCGTCTTTTTATCTCCGGTGAATTCCCTTGTTACAATTTGAGAGGTGCCCCTTTAACTTTGTATTAATAAGTGCATCTTTTATTTTGACATGTGCCCTTATCCTTCAGTCTAATTGGTGTCATTTTACTTCTGATAATTGCCCCTTTTCCTTTGTACATGTAATAAGTGCCCCTTTTCCTTTGTACCTCTGATAATTCCGATTTTCTACTTTGACACATGCTCCTTTTCTTTTCTAATAAGTGTACTTTTGAGTAACGTTGGATATATGTGCCCTCTTTAAAAGAGGGCACGTATCCAACATTAAAAGTTTTAACGTTAGATATGTGCCCTCTTTCCTTTCATCATAAAATTTGCTCCTAATTTAGAGCGACGAAGAGCAACTTTTTCTTCGATTTCACCCAAAGCTCAATCGCAACCCTCGATCGCATTTTATGTTAATATAATTTTGTTTCTTATTAAAGATCTGTGCAGTCTTTCATGATTAGGATTTTTCCCTCCTTCTTTATAAGATTTTCACACTGCCACCTCACAAATCTTAAAATCACATCCAACGGCAGAATCTTGGACCATGTAAAAAGAGAAGAAAAAAAGGAAAATCAACCCTGATAATCTAATATAAGAGCTTACCAATGTAAACAAATGGCATATATTCGTACCTATATATAGAGTACCTATTGATCTCAGGTTCATTGGATGCTGTGTATCAAGTACAATTAAGAATGCCGAGCCAAGAATTAGTACTGCTTCTTGTCCTTTTTTTGGCGGGGGGGGGGGGGTCGTACGTGAGGAGGGCTTCGGAAGTTCGGACCAAAGAGCCCCCCCCCCCGAACACGCCAGTGGATAGTGGGTAGAAGGAGCCTCTTCTTAAAATCCACAACCAACCCCTTTATTATAGGTTTATACAATATAATGGAATTCCTTTCAAACCTGAGGGAAGACATTACTGCAAGCAGAGTTGCAATTCTGAGGGGCATGGAGACACATCCCCGGTAAGATTGTGTTTCCAGGGGATCGCCCTATCCCTCCTCTGTGAATGTAAACAAAAGGGTTGTATAGTAAATACAGTGTAACAGCACATTTCTGTAATGCAGATTTTCACTAGAAATAGTTTTAAAAAATGGGAGATTTTCTTATTCGGTCGCAACGCTCCCTCGCGTACTTAAACTGTACTTTCTTGTCCTCTTTACATATATTTGTATTTGTAAGCGCTATGGTACTTATTGTTTTTAGTGCTCCTAAATATTCGATATTATTATTATTATTAATATAAAGAAGATATGGCAACCATAGGCATAACATAATTGACAGGAGTCGTCTCCCAAAATTGGAAAGCTGATACAAAATTCTATATGATGATTTCGTGCTTCCCATCGACATCAGAGAAAAGATTGAACATAGAGCTCAACAATCAGCAAAATTCATTTGTTCGGTCGACACGCGACCTCGCGAAATATACTTGTAGTTTACCAAATACGTTGTTAATGCAATATTTCCATAGGCATAATGGACAATGTTGCCTATATATTTGGATTTTTTTTCTTCTAACCTCTTTTCGTGAAATGACAACGTGATTTATTCTTGACAGATAAAGTTTGTAACTTCTCATTGCTTTGAAAAAACAAATTATTGATCAATAAAAATTAATAAGATTTCAATTGAGAAAAATCAAAGTTCATTTATAAAGATCTAGGGAACAATCACCCCCCCCCCCACTTTCTCGGAAAAAAGAGAAAAATAAGAAAGATAAAAAGGAGAGGAAGACTTAGGGTCAACGAGAGAGTGAGAAAGAGAGAGAAAGAGAGAGAGAATGAGAGAATGAGAGAGAGAGAGAGAGAGAGAGAGAGAGAGAGAGAGAAGGGATAGGGGAATGGAGTAAAAAAAAAAAACAGGACTGAAGCCTTTCACAAATTCCATAATATTTTAGAGGATAGCAGTTTGTCTTTTACCACAGATCTCAGGTAGTAGTTTTGTTAAACATTATTATTATTGTTTTAATACTATTTTTTAAATAATTTCACCATACTGTAAATATAATATATTATACGTTATCCCATTTTATTGGCACTTGAACTTCCCTTGTTGATGTTTTGCAAGAGTTTGGACAATAATTTTTTTTTTCAAAACCAAAAATAGCATTATAGTTTGTGTTTTGCTGATGACACAAATTTATTCTTTCTCACAAAGACTCTCGTAGATTAGTTGAAATAATTAATATTGAAATGTGTGATATTTTATTGTGGATTAGAGCGAACAAATTATCATTGAATCTCTAGAAAACGAAATAGGCCTATGTGTAGTAATTCTATAGATTCGTTTCCAGCTAACATAGTTTTGGACAATACTCCATTGTAGTGTGTTTCATTTAATACATTTTTAGGTGTAACAGTTGATAACAAGTTTTCTTGGAAATATCACATCGACAATATTTGTAAAATTATTTCCCGAAATATTGGTATTAATAATAAAGTAATGACATATCTTCCTTTTAACTCATTAATTATGCCTTATAGTTCTTTGATATTTCCATACTAGAATTATGGTCTCTTAGTTTGGGGTAACACACATCAAACATCATTAGTTAAAGTGTTGTTATTACAAAAGAAGAACATTATTCATATCATTTGTAACTCCCCCTCTCGCTCCCATCTATGTTTTTTTGAAATAAGTTACTTGAGGTAACAGACTTATATTTTTTCAACAAGGTCAATTTGTGCATAATTATACAAATAATATCATTTGCCATCTGTTTTTCAAGAAAAGTTTTTTAATTTGTTATAGCTCAGTCCATAATTACCTAACAAGACATTCGGAAGATTTTCATTTACTTTCTTGCGGACCCTATTTAGCTCAAAATACATTGATATATGGAGGTCCAAAATTATTGAATTCTTTAAGTAATGAAAATAAAATGCTCCATCGATTAATACTTTTAAGAAAGAAAAAAAAAATGAAATTGTTTTTATTACAATCTTATGAACCTCGTTGAACTATATCGCCCATTTATTCTTTTCCCATCCTCATAATTATGTCTGTCTTTTTCTTTCTTTTTGTTGTTGTTGAAATAAGGTCATTCTCTACTCGCTGACTAAAATATAATTTGATATTGTGCCCTCTCATCAGGCGCGTACACAGGGGGGGGGGGGGTTGGGGGTTGAACCCCCCCTTTGGTATTTTTGTGTGTATAAACCCCCCCTATAACCCCCCTTTTTAATTTTTTTTTTTTATTAAAAATTTAAAAAAAAAAAAATCATGCCCATGGGTGACCTAAAAAAAGTAACCTTACCCCTCCCCCAACGAAAATAAATGTCAAATTTCCAAATTTCGAGACCAAAAAAAAAAAAGTGTCCTCTTACCCAGAATTATAAAATTAAAATAGAATTAAAATTGAATTGAAATTGAATTAAAATTGAATTGGTTTGATACTTGAACATGAATAAAACCCTTTATTGAAATACGTCACACACCAAGATGAGAGGTGAAACCCAATTCTGACCAAAAAATTAAGCTGTTGGAAAGGCAGGGGGTCAAAATGATAATCATGACAAAATTCCATTATGCAAAAAAATTGGCTCAAGTTCTCACGGGCAATTTAAGTCTGCTTGGTAAACATGCTGACTTTGTGCTGAAAACATGGGCGAAAATCATGTGGCAATTTTTCTTCTTCTTTACACTGTCACTGGTGGATACCCATTGGACCGTCTCCTATACTCTACTCCCGGCCGCGTCATTTTTTCTGCGGCACAGATTTGGGCTTTAAAAAAAAGAGGTCTTGATTTAACCCTAACCCTAACCCTAAACCTAAGCTTTCCCATAGGCTCAACACGCACCTAACCCCAATCTGTGCCGCAGAAAAAAAATAACGCTCCCCCCCCCCCCCCACTCAGTGTTATTTAGGGTACGCATATGCATGTTCCCTCCTTTTTAAAAATACCTACTCACTTAAACAACAATTACCCGGCGAATACCCTAAGACTGTTATTCTTATGAAACAATGTATGATTTTTAATGAGAATTTGAAGGTCACTTCAGAAATATTGTAGGAAATTGAAAAATATTATGAAGTGCCTTCTCGAGTTTGAGCTACTAGCGTCTAGCGGGGACTCTTTTACCCCCTACGAGGACAGGTGGTGTAATCCCGGGGAATCCCCTTTCTCGGTCACACCCATCACGAAGAGAGTGGTCTGGTGACCGTTATGAACTGCCCCTCCCCTTTCATGATCTCATTTTTTTCTTCTTCTTATGCTTTCCCTGCACATTTATGCTTTCTATGAAAATTAACTCTGTAGTTTTTAAGGTTTCCCCCTCCATTTCCCCTTTCTAACCTTATCAGTTTTCTTATACGAGAAGAGGATACACAGTCCCTTATCAATAAGAAGTGATTTTCACCAGTCTCTTCTTTATGTACTTTGCCTTATGGGACGGTTCTTCATAAACAACAACATTGTAGAGACTGCACAGCTAACCGACATCCTTTCCCCTGCTCTGTGCTCCCGTGCAACGAAATTCAGCGGCACAGCTGGGAGCTAGCTCGCTCGCCGAAAGCTAGGGCAGTGCTCGTAGCAGTGTACGTGTGCCAGTGCAGTGGGGTGCGATACGCGCAACAAGGGATACCCAGTGACATTAATTTAGCTTCTGTCATCGGAAATCGATGGCTTCTAACAGCTCGCGAAAACTTCAGAATCAGAACCCACATTTGCCTCAGATGGTGCTTTAAGAAGGGAGATAATCATTCTGTGAGAATATTTCCCTTCATTTGGTTGCCTATTTGTGAGTTTTTAAGACAGGGATCGCCTGCAAAATGGTGGTTTTTAACGGGACTTTCCGTCTGAAGATCTGCGAGGCGGTGGATCTAAAACCTACCGACTTCGCAACGCGTTTCGCTAGCAGCAGTAGCAAGGATGCTGCGAAGGCGGCCGCCGTTGCCATTGATCCTTTCATTGAAGTCAGTGTTGATGACGTACATGTTGGAAAGACAACCATCAAACAAAAATCATTCTCTCCCACTTGGAATGAAGAATTTGAAACCAAAATCCAGAATGGAGAGAACCTGATATTCACTGTTTATAATAACTCCATGATCAAGTCGGAATTCGTTGCAAACTGCACAGTTGCAATCGAAGACCTGCTTCAAAATGCTACCGGTCCCAGCAATCTACTCAACTCGGACATCTGGGTAAGGACTTGTTTTGGTTTTGTTTCATTAGATCTAGTACGGTTGAATATCTTTTGGATAGATATCGATGATTAATATCAGATGAATATAGATCTTCACCTTCGCTTGGTTGTAGGTGTCCAATTTGTACCCATCTGTGCCTCTCTCATCTCCCCCACATCGTGATGGGGCAGACGGGCTTTTCATTGGCACACACTTCAAGTCCAGATATAATTTTATAAACATTCCTCCAGAGATGGCTAGCAAAAATCAGTTAGACAGTTCTGTTGTATTTCGTGTTGGCAATCAAAAATTTATATATTTCATAGCCTGGTGTAAACTCAACATGGGCTAAATCTCATGTTACCATCTACACACTGTAGATGATCATCTCTAGACTTGTGCCTTTTATTGTTAAGTTTTTAACATTGATTTCCAAACTTACATTAATGTCATGATGTGTAAGGCTAAGATTTGTCCTTCGTGAATCAGAGAAATCTAACATGTATTGAGGCTTTTATCTTGTGTGGGAAGGGCAGTCATAAGTGGTTCAGTTAATGTGTCTTATTACATGTATGTTAGATATAATGTTTTTGTTTGTATGTTATTTGGTGAGTTTTCATTAGTTCAATAATTCAAGCTTCAACAATGTATTTGTGTTAATGTTTCTTGCCTTTTTGAAATTGTTAATTTGATTTTGTTGATGTGTTTTGTTTTCTTGTGTTCAACCTGAGTTGTACCCTAGCTCGGTCATATAATTTTTCTCAAGTCTGTGTTCCTTATGATTTTTGAAGTCTTCAACAGAAAATGTACTTGTGTCATTGGGATTCTGTTTCTGATCCCAAAGATGTCTTTTCAAGTTTCACCTTTGTTGTTTCTTATTATATAAAGGGGGAGAGGGGGCGGGGCTGTGGGGGGGGGGGGGGGGGTCACAATTAAAAAGCTATGCCCATTTTTAGGTTGTTTAACTGTTTCATTTAGGATTTAATTTGATAAAAGTAATAATAGCTTAAAAAGGGAGTCGTCCCTGATTTACTGATATGTAGTTTGTTTCAATGAAGACAGAAAAATGAGATAAGTGAAGGACATCTAATCAAGGATGAGAAAGATATGATTGGCTATTTTGAGTAGAAAATGCATACTACTGGTACATCATTACATGTGCAGTAGCTACACTGTACATAATGCACAAACATAGATGAGGAAATCTAGGTAGAAGTCTAAACCATGTGCATTGCTTGGATTCTCATATGTGGAGTTGTGACTGTGAGTAACTTATGCCTCAGTAAATATGCTTTCCAGCAAGTACAACCCATTGACTGTGCGATAAATCATTCAGAGTTAATTAGATTACCCAGAAGTGGACTATTTTAAGTTTTGTCATGTTGGCTGAGTTACAATCATGATGATTAATGAATAACTCTGTTTGCCACAATGTTTTAGACTTGAAGTGAATTACCCTATGAAGTATCAACAAAATGGAGTGTCTATTAGATACATGTAAAGTATGTTGTAGAGCAGGCCTTCTCAAATGGCGGAGCTTGCAGTCAGTCGGAGTGGCACTCGACTGTTGCAAACAATATATATATATTTTAGAATTAAAAACTCAGCAAAATCAAGAAGTCGCAGTCGGAAGCTGAGCCCAAAATGTCTGCTTAACAAACAGGAAGAAAGGGGAATTTATAGTTTTTTTACCCTTTTATACGACTCTAAACCTGAGCTCTAAACAACAATAAGCATACGATGTGCTACTAATTTTAACATTGCCGATCTATGGAACCATCTTGTTTTTTATACAGTAGGCTTGCGGGTGCACCATGTGAGAGAGAAAGAGAGAGGATTGAGGTGTCCTGAAAAGGACTCTCAGTAATCTTTCTTGGGGGTGTGTAGTCTTGTTTTTTGTTTGTTTGATTTTCACTTAATTTTGACATTTTTTGGTTTATTGCACCAAAATAAATACATATAAATTTACCTCCAGTGTAATTGTACCCATAAATTGTACCAATTTTTTCACATCTATAATGGTGGATCAGTGGTTAGAGCGCCCGCCTCATGAACGTGGGTTCGAACCCCGGCCAAGTTATGCCAAAGACTTATAACAATGGGACCTTCTGCCTTCTAGCTAGGCGCTCAGCAGATTAGATTGGAGAAGGGTAGTAATAACTTTATGTTATGCAGGGCCCGCTGGAAGAGCAGTTTCATAACTGAAGTTGCTACCCTGGGTAAATAAAACATTATTATTATGGAATTAAATGGTGTTAAAAATGCCACATCTGGGTCTTTAGAAAGCCCTAATATCCACCAGCTTTGGGGGGCTCTGGCCGCTCTGCCCCCTGCACCCCCGTTGTGGCTTTGCCCCTGGACCCTACCCGTTTTTGGCTCGGTCGCTATGCTCCCTCTCAGCACAGTCAAACATACAGGTTGGCACTTTAACTACAGATTCTTTTTGTTTTGGCACTTCTAATAAACTACATGTAGTTGAGAAGGCCTGTTGTAGAGCTTCTAACCTATTTCACATTGTCATTGTTCTTTTAGGCAGATATATATAAAATCTCAGTTAATCATAATTTGGGCTTACAGTAGATTAGTTATTGCCTTCAATGTTTATCATCCTATGCTACTGTTGTCTTTTGGCAACAACTATAGTCTAGAAGACACAGTCTCATAACAACACCCTTTTTGAGAGCTGCCTGTCCATTCTAAACAAAACAACCGCCCAGTACAAAGTTATTGTACAATGTATCTTTGACGATTAAAGAGTTATTCAAATGTATCTTTAAAAAAAAAATCTCTTTTAGCAATTGTGATAGTTCAAGAAATAGAAATGATATATCTAACATTTTTATGTGTTTTCCTTGTGATATCAAATTATCAATCTTAATTGTCAAAGAATGTTGTGTGAGACTTCATATTGATACTACACAATCTAAAAAGCAGATACTTTTGAACAATATTAGTATTGATGGACTTGGGCAAAGTATTATATTTTGAAGAACATGTTACTTTAGAAAATTATCATTTGAAATCATTCCAGATAATTTATTGAGTCCAGGCCAGGCTCTTCAATGTTCCCTGATAGGTTTTTTTTCTTCATTGCATTGCATATTTACATTCAAGTTTAGATTTGTTTCATTGAAATCACAGCTAACCAATGATACTACCGGTATCCTGTATAATGCAATATCACATGAAATAAAGCTGGACTAGGCCTCTTATTGGCAGCAGCCTTTTAGATTCTCTAGGCTTAAATGTGGACTGAAAATGCAGTATTTATCTCATTTGATAAAGCAAACTAGATCTTTTTATTGAGCAGTAGACAAAGTGATTTTTAACAAAAACCATGCTAAAAGAAAATAAATATCTATCTACAATGTAAACACACATGATATATGATGAACAATCAGTATTGAGAAAACAATTTCTACAGGGTCTATCTGCCTTTGTGTAGGCATACATATTTACATCTGCTGACTAGTACATACAGCCTATTATTGTGTGGATTTGTTTAGATATTCTAGGTCGCTGTTGTGGTATTTGTTAGGTTTATTGTATATTTTTTATTTCATATTTACACATACTTATCCTCAAATTATAAAAGGTCACTAACAATGTATCAGGAAGCTGTACATGTAGTATGAGTAATATTTTATCAACAGGAGCTTGTTGAAAGTGAATTGTTTGCTTGGATTTCCATGTATTTGATTTGGGTGACTGATTTGATAGGCATTTGACGTTTTAATGCCTCTTTGGTTTAGCATAAAGGTCTAATCTGTCATTAAGATTTAATCGTGTTGATGCGATATAGGTGAATTCATGCACTCGAAACACATTGTTTCACATCCATTATTTAATCTCAGAGGAATAATTACATGAGATAAATAGTTTATGGGTCAATTCAACTCAATTGGTTCTATGTTATAGAACAACCAATATGCATTTAACTTGCTTTGCATACAGACAGAGCTACATGTAGGAGTCTGAAAAGAAGTAATTCAATGTTGAAATGTTGACTTGGCCTCATGGGGCCTGATTATGATCTGATTATGATATGAGTGCATGTATAATTTCAGCTTTGAATGCATACATGAATGAATGTACACTGCAGATAATGCGATATCTCCAGAGTTTTACCAAGGTTTTTACCAGTATTGATGAGTACAGTAATGGTGTACATAAGAAAACAAAACAACAGAAAAACAAACAAAAAGAAAAAGAACCCCCCTCCCCCAAACAAAAATGTAACAAAACAAACCCAAACAAACAATATAAAACCAACTAAAAACATACAAAAACCAACAAACTTAATGACAGCATTCTGCAGGTTGGGAATGAAATGAGCCCTTTGTTACTCACTGGTACGTGAAGTTCTGAATACAAAATTTAAAAACTATTCTTGAAAGTTCTAATAAATGAGGAATGCTCAAAATATATGAATAATGATGTGAACTAATTTTAATCACTTATCATACTTGTATGAATAAAGAATCCCTTTACTTGTTAACTCATACAAGTGAATTGCCATGGGCCTACCTTAAAATAAAAAATGCTTGCATTCAATTAGTTTATTGAAAGTTGTTTCTGTTTTCATATTATAACTATTAAAGATGAGTTCAGCCGAGTGTTAGTCAGTCTTTCACCTATTATCAAATTGGTATAAATGTACTCATTTTAAAACTAAGTCACATCATGGATAACATCTCTGATATTCTCAGATAAAACACGGTACATGTTTTTCCTTGTTGAATTTTTGTTGGTACTACATACTGTACTATGCTTGTTTTATTGATCTACATATACACGAATGCCCATAAAGTTGGAATATTTTTAAAACCATTTTTCATGAAATGGTTGTGATATAAACATTGTAATTTATTTTTGATATATACATGTAATGTAGATAAAGTTCTGAGAAGATTTAAACTTTATATATCAAGAATAAACCATATTGTCACAATTATTTCATAAAAAGGAGGAAGAATTTTTTCTGTGACCTTCATGGTCAACAGTGGGTGTATTTAACC